CTGTGAATTGTTTAAAAGAATGAGAAATATATTCACGGTCATTATCACTACGCAAAACTCTAATAGAAACACCGAACTAAGTTTGAATTTCATTAAAAAAGTTTGAAAGATATGAAATAATTCAGAACGATTTTTCATCAAAAATAACCAAGTGCATCTGGAATAATCATCAATGAAAGTAACAAAGTATTGAAAACCTAAAGTAGACTTAACGCGGCTAGGTTCCCAAATGTCAGAGTGAACCACGACAAAAGGGGACAAAGCACCACGTGTGAAACTAAGAGGAAATGAAGTACGACTATGCTTGCCTAATTGACATGACTCACACGCCAAACTAGATTAGTTGGACAAGGCAGGGACAAGTTTCTGTAACTTGGCAAGACTTGGATGACCTAACTGAGCATGAAGAAGAGAGGGAGACTACATAACTGTACTAACATGTGTAGAGGGACGGAGATAATAAAGACCATGAGACTCACATCCTGTGCCAATCACCTGTTTCGAACTCCGATCCTGTAAACACACAGAATTATTGGTAAAAGTAACAACACAATCAAGAGAACGAGTTAGACGACTGATGGACAACAGGTTAAAAGGAGACCAAGGGACATAAAAAACATTATCAATGGTTAAAGAAGGAAAAAGTTTAATTGTTCCAACACCATGAGATGATACTCTAGAGCCATCAACCAGTGTAACAGAAGGTAAATGATTAGGAGAGGATAAAGAGGAGAACAAAGATTTGTTACCAGTAATATGATCAGTGGCTCCCGAATCAAAAATCCAAGGACCAGGAGAAAATGATTGGGTCAGACCAGCAAAATATGTATTTTTATGTGTGACAGATATAGTGGAACTAGAAGACTGTTGATCCTTATACCATTCGAGAAATTTGTTGAACATAGTAGGCATGTCGGATGCAATAGAAGAAGGAAGATCCCCTGCAGATAAAGGTGGGGAAAAATCGGTGTGAACAACTACAGTAGATTGAGGAGGATGACCATGTAATGTATAACACTTGTTAATCTTGTGACCTAGCTTGCCACAATGTTCACACTTAGGACGTCATTTTTCCTGTTTGCGAGGGCGAGCCCGGTCATCACGATGTGATGTCAACACAAAAGAATCGTTAACAAAATTAGAAATAGTGGAAGAAGTGGAAGAAGTCATGAAGAGCGGGAGAACAAACCCTAAAACAATCCAAAGTAATTCAATTAACCCACGAAGCACAAATCCAAAATGAGAATATTAAAAATAAGTTCGCCAAGATTAAACGGCACAGGAGACAATAGGACGACCAACTCCGATAGTGGTGATCTCAATGGCACGGTGGTCACCTGACCGAGACAAGCAAAATCATATGTCACCGATAAAAAAAAAATGAAACTCCGACGAATTCTTCGGCAGCGACGGATCCGGTGACTGCTCCAGCGGCAGCGGTGACAACAATGTGAACTAGTACACCAGGTAAGTTCCCAGGAAAGAGAGGTGAGTCACTAATGGACACACTGAAATATCAAGTCTTTCCTTGCCAGAACTTTCCTAAACATGCACTTTCTCACTACCAAATAAAATTCAGTAACAAAGATAATTCTTTTCTAATGTGGAGGATCAGTTTACCAGCAGCGGTGGGGCGGCTCCAACAGTGGATAAAAGGCGGAAAAAAAATCAAGATAACCTTAAGCTCTAAATATCATGTTAAGGTTCCAACATAAAACCAATTGGCAATATGTGGAGTAGCCTAACATGTATTTAAACCATACTAAATGACATGAGGTAGGCGATGTGGGACTTTCAACACACCCCCTCCAACGAAGTCTGCCGGACCAGGTAAAGGGTACTTTGACCCAACCAAAGGGCAACTTTTGGCCCATGACAATAACCGGAAAGATGTTAGGCTTTGGCTCTGATACCATGTTGAATATAGAGAAAATAGGGTTTGGAATTAATTTCCCTTGTGTATAAATCACACATAGGGTGATCTATTTATAGTAGAGAGATACAACTAAAAGAGTGAATCGAAAGTAACAGAATAAACGAGAAGATATTGTTTGATATTGTGGTTACCAATATCTAACAATATCTTAACAATATCAAATAATATCTAAACAATATCTAACAATATTAAAGATAATGTAAAAAATGTGATCCAAAATTTTAGAAAGATAAAAAAATAAAATTTTAAATATTACTGAAAATTTTATATAACTATAAAATATATAAAATTATTAGAATATTTTAAAAATATTTAAAAGTAAAAGATAGATAATTTTAAATTTATTATAAACTATATTTTAGATGAAATCTATAAAGAAGTAACACTGGTTATGTAATATGTATAAAAAAAACTAATAAAACTAGTTTTTATAATCTATGTTACCTAACCATCTTTTCATTTTTCCTAAAATACTAACACGTGATGTCTGGTTGATTATGTTTTGAAATCTTGCTTACTTTTACGTGGTGAGAATTTGTTTGAGAAGAGGGACGTCATGTCATCATGTAAGGACTTCTTACTTTGCATGAAGCCAAAGCATTTAATGATCCATTGAAAGCTATGTAAGAGATGCAGCTGTATACACTTAATATTTTTATTTCTCTTCATCACAGTACTCATTATCACACATTTCCTATCTTCTTATCTTTCTTCTCAGACATCATGTTGTAAAGAACTGAAGTAAAAGTACATCCTTGCTCATAATTTTTTATCACATTTTAAAAACATATGTTTTCTGTTTTCTGGTTAAACTGTCATCAGTTGCTTTAAATTACTTCCAAAATGTATTATAACGATAAATGCAATAGCATATGCATTATAATTAGTTTAAAAGTTATATATGGTAAACTGTGATGTCATGAAGACCCTACAAAATGTGGCATTTTCCTTGCTGGCTTTAGAAAAAATTTGTATTCAAAACGAGAAGTTGCCTTTAGAAAAGGGTAGAACATAATTGAAAAAGTTAATGTGTCAACCTTGGAAGAAACAAGGTATGGTGTGAGCATGCGATTTTGAACATTTCTCCCACCATCATGACATTGTATTAGCCCAACCTAACATGTGATCCATTGTAGATTGGATTGCCATGCCAAATGCCATCTTGTCATGTAGTGTATATATCATACTCTATGTTTATAACATTGCCGGCTCTTCATCTCATTCACCACATCTATGTTTATGGCATTGTTTATAGAGTTAAAAAAAAAAACTTCAAATTTTATAAAAAAAATAAAAAAAACTCATCATTCTATAAGATAGCAAAAGTTTAGAAGTAGTTGAGTAATTATTCAAATTTGAAATAAAGGAACAAAGTAGAAGTTAGGATTTTTTTCAATTTTTTAAAGATCCTTTAAGGGTTTTTTAAACTTTTTTTTTTTTAATTTTATTTGGTCAAACTTCTCCTTCTTTTTGTTTTGATTAGTTAATCACTTGTTAAATAATTTTCTTTAACCTTTTAGTATAAGTTGAGGTGGGAAAGTTTGTCCTAAGGGAAAAAAAATCGTAAAAAAATAAGAATGAAGAATCACCAACAAACTTTTTCAATTGTTATGGTTGAGTTTCATAATCCGTAACTAATTTTGTCATAAATATAATTTAGCAATATATTAAGAGTTAATCGTGATTAGTGAATAAAACAGTGTAAGAGATATGTATGGAGAGTGAAGAAGTTAATCAAGATGGAGGCAGAAAGAAGAAAAGGAATAAAATCTAGGCAATAAAAAACGAGGAGAAGACGATAAAAATGAGTAAAAAAAGACAGAAAAGAACACTGGGTGTGTTGGATCTGGAAGGATCATCACCTCTTCACGGACTAAACAATTAAAAATTTCATCCATAACTTAAAGATTAAAATGAGAACATTATTTCGTTATTTTGTTACACATAAAACATGTTAAATTCAAGAGAGTATCAAGTTATCAATCAAAAGAATTTACTAAATAATAATAAAATAATAAAAAATTCATAGAATTTGAAAATGTGTTCTTAGATATATATAGTGCATGTCTCTCCCACCTCCATTGCTCCGCCGGAGAGGGAATATTCTTCCGTCACCATCCCAAACGGACAAACCGAAACGTGTTCGTTTTATGGGTCCCGTTTCCTTCCAACCCAATCCATGTGACCCTCTCTTTCCACATTTTTCGCCAATTTCTCTTTCCTCAGAATCTTCCACGCTGGCATCCACGTGTCTCCAATCTCGCAACATACACCGTTAGATGCAACGGAACCACCTTACTCTTTCATCACAACGATTAAATAACGTAGTATCCACGATGTAACTTCGGATTCGTCGCCGAGATTTCCTCTAATATGTTCCTCAAACTAAATGGTTCCTGCTAATTTCTACAACCTCATAATAATACTCATATTATTCATCATTAATAATAATAATAATATAATAATTATAATAATAATAACAAAATCATATCATGTACATGCATAATGCATTGCACCTAAACGATATGAAGTGACACACTTAATAATTTATTACTAGAAACAAAATAATTGAATTACTGTTACAAAAGTGCATTATATAAGTCCATCAAACGCCGTATTTAATGCTTTTGTTATTACTAGTGTTGCCTCTTACGCTACTGAGCCATTTTTTATTTTTTTTAGCAGCACTAAGTCCTCTGTTTGTGTATAATCAATGATGTTCTGTTCTGACTTGTTTGGTGTTTCTGGTTTAATTCCAATTGGTTATGATTGCTGAATATCAGAGTGTGTTTTCCTTTGGGGTGGTTTGTGTTGTGGAATTACAGATTCTTTCATCAGCAAACACATGGTGAATAGTTGCAGAGGGTATATGGTATATCTTCTTGTGGCCTACGCTGATCCCTTCTTTTTCCTTTCTTCTTTTCCGCTTTTGGGATAATAGAATGAAGGCGCTGTTTGGCTGAGAGGTATAAAGCAAAGCTGCAAGTGGGTTTGTAGGAATTTGCTTTTTGAAAGTTGAAAAGAAGGGTAGTTGTAGTTCAAAGTGAAGCATAAGAAGTAAGTGATGGAAGGTGGAGGAAGAGAAGGCTATAATGGAGTGGTGATGACTATGACACGAGACCCGAAACCAAGACTAAGGTGGACAGCAGATCTTCATGATCGCTTTGTAGATGCAGTCACAAAGCTTGGTGGCCCCGATAGTAAGTATAGTATTTTTTTTTTTTCTGTCACCATATTGTTTAGATTTTAATTCAGTTAAAAGTACTTTTACTTGACAAACTCGTCTTTCTTTATTTTGTATATTGAAATTCAGAAATGTACATTATAATTGGTTAAATTATTTCTCAACTGTTGTTGATACACAAAGTTAACTTGGGAGAAAAGTTTTTGTTGGAACTGAAGTAGAAGGAAGGGGAGAAAAAAAGGTGAAACAATGGGGTGTTTTCAGTAACTACAATTACTTGCTGCACCAAATCAAGAAATTGATTGATCGAAAAATTATCTATTGTCCACCAAGCGGTTGTTTGTATGATCTGCATGCTGATGTAGCCTGACATTTCTGCATATAATAAATTAAAGTAGCATTTGGTGTTTCCCTCGTTTGTGCATTCTTTTTCTGTCTGTACAAATCGTTGGTTCACTAATCACTTTCCTTCAAGCTTTTTGCTCTAGGGGTTTCTTGCTCCAATGTTCACTCAATGCTTATCATTTTAAATATTTTATAATTTTCTGGCTTAATGATGCTGGTGGAGGTTTCTGTGAGTCAGAAAACGACATTAGTCTGAAATGGTTTATTTTGTCTTCAGAAGCGACTCCCAAGTCTGTTCTGAGGCTAATGGGGTTGAAAGGTCTGACATTATATCATTTGAAGAGCCATTTACAGGTAATTAGATTTGGCTTGCGTATAATGAATTTCATTCATGAGGGTTACCGTTTACAAATGTGGAAGGAAAAATAGATGAAGAAGTGAAAAGACAAAGTATAAGTTATTTTGATTTGATATCATCATTAATTGATTAGTACCATAAAAAAATATTATAGAAAGATGGAAACAAAGTAGTACAAATGAAAAAGGAGTGAAAATACTGAATTTATAAGTCAATGATATTTTGGAATTCATGAAGAATCAATATTTTGGAAGTAGAACCTTCCTTGTGGGCCGGCTCTTCTCTTTATATTTTTATATGTACTATTTTATGTTCTGTAATGTACTGACTGACTATAGTTCAAATTTGTCTTCCTCTCTGTCTTTCATTTCTTGTTTTCTCCTAAAGAATTACCATTTGGATGTATAATTTGACATTGTTATTTGTTAATTTGCAGAAGTATAGACTTGGACAGCAGGCTAGAAAACAAAATGAGGAACTAAACAAAGAGAATAGTAGTGAGTCCGTTTCACAAATTATTTAGAAAATTTATCATTCGATTTTCCTTAAGAAACCTTTTACTTAAATAGAGAACATAAAATCTGGAAATGTTTGATAATAATGTAACAAATTCTTCCTATGTTTCTGTTTCTTTTTAGGATGTTCGTTTGTAAATTTTAGCAATCGTTCTTCGGGGCCTAACACCAGTTACAGAGATGATAATGAAGGGGGGTATGTTTTAGATTATATGCATAACTCTAGTTTCCATGAGCCAAATTCTCATCCAAATTTCTTTTCCCCTTAATTGACATTTTTAGCTTTGTGTGTACTGCATAAAAAAAAAAAAATGCTGTGTAAATGCAACTCACTGCTTGTACTTGTTTTGTTTCTCCTTGTCCTAACTAATTTTCATAACCAATATAGAGAAATCCCAATAGCAGAAGCACTGAGGCATCAGATTGAAGTTCAAAAGAGATTGGAGGAGCAGCTAGAGGTGTTTCTCATTTTTTTTAACTTGCATAGTTCTGAAGTCCTTTTTTGTAAGATGTGATTTTCTAATTTTAATGTTCAACTGTAGAAAACTTTGATTTACTCGTGTTAAACATCTCTCTTTCCAATAGGTACAGAAGAAGTTGCAGATGAGAATAGAGGCTCAAGGGAAGTATTTGCAAGCAGTGTTAGAGAAAGCTCAGAGAACCCTCTCCTCGGATGGATCAGTAAGTCTTGAAGCATCAAGAGCTCAGTTGACTGAATTCAACTCTGCTTTGTCAAATTTCATGGAAAATATGAATAAAGATTGCAAAGAAAACATAATAGAAGTGAATGAATTTTATAGTAAGAACCATGGCTCAGCTTGCCATTATGAGGAAGTAAGGAGAGAACAACATAGGGATCAAAAGCCCAAGATTGAAGGGGATTCAATACAGCTTGACTTAAACATCAAGGGTAGCAATGACCATGTATCTGCAGGTGGGGCTGAAATGGAAGCCAATATGATTTCATATAGGGTGTAAAGTTTTTGAATTGTCATATGTTAAGTTAGCCATTAGATTGAATGATATATAGTCCTTTCCCTAGATATTCTCAATAATTTTCTCCCTCCCTTCTATAGAGTATAAAGTTGCATAACAGGACAGCTTCTTATCTCCATTTTCTAGAGGAAAGTCCTTATTCCCAATTTTCCACTTGACAAAACATAGATACAAATTCACAAGTGATTTTAGCATTATTTTCCTGTTAAATTTTTTTTTTCTCAAATAATAACCCCACAATAAACAATTGTATCCAAGTTTTATCCTTTTCTATATTACGCGTAATAGGAGCAACCAAGTTAAGAAGCCGATTAGGAAGATTAGATGGTGTTCCTTAGAATGTTGGGCAAATGGGATATTTGAAAACACATCAAGCATACCAATGCAATACTGTTGATTAACCTTTTCTTGCCCTGTTTTCCAAGGACATCTTAATGATTGATGAGCCAAAGATAGACTATTCAACAAGGTGCTAAATTGCAGTGAGATTCTTAATATTGTAGAAACCCATTGCGTTTGTGAAAGTCCTACGACCCTTGATGTTGATGCTAAAATAGCAATGACAAAACCGTTTTGAAAGCCTTTCTATGGTTACATTTGTTTTTATCGTTTCACTGCCTAGTTCACAGACTTGCAATAATCAAGATGACCGATATTTTTGTGTATATTTGGGAATTCAGATAAATAATGAAATTTCACAAACATGATTACAAACCATTCAACAGAAAACTAAAATCACTTGCAAACAAAGTCAGAGTTCTCTCTCCTCAATAATTTTTATTACAACAACTCCTAATTTCTTTGGTTGGTCTACCTTATAATTTTTCATCCCCATAATCTCATCACAGATACACTTTAAGGTATTCATCCATACGCGTGTAATTCACCTCTGGATAAAGCACTGACGCTTCTTCTCCACCTTCTCCTATTTCAAAGTTTGTCAAACACCCTTCATAGAAAACATGATAGAAGTGCCCCACTCCCACTTGACTTGCATAGTCTAAACCTGGAATCCACGTTAAGCAAAGTCATTTGTTGTTGATATAAATAAATTGCTATAAAAGTTTAGTACGTTCTCTTCTGGGTCTATTGTTACCTTTCATGGAAGCAAGAAAATCTTGTTCATTTATGCTGGACTTCTCTAGTTGCTTCCCTATGAGCTTCTCCCACTTCTCAATTAGCTGTCTTTGAGTGAGAATGTTTTCTGGTGGTCTTAGGTATACAGTCTTGTTCAATGTTCGAGGATCATCAATTGTCTTGATTGTGTATGTTGCAACATCATCTTCATCCATGAAAACAACTGCATTGTGAAAGATTCATAAGTATTAGAAAACATGTTGCAGTATCTTAAATTCTTAAACTATGAATACATTTCATTTCACACCCTATGACAGCAAGTGTGTGCACATTAACATATATATAATGAAAAATTAAAAGGCATTATAAATTTAGTACTATTAAAAACATGGTGTACCTTTGACATTTCCATCACCATAGAGCAAGACCTTGTCTCGGGGAGGGAGGAGGGTCCCCATTTGAGAGAGGTTACCAGCAAAGTAGCCAGCAAAGCAGTTAGCAGAGATGTAAGTGAAAGGGATGTTGGCATCTTCAATTGCTTTCCTTACAATCATTTTCTCATCGAATGTCACTCTTCCCGGTTCAAGTGCATGTTCCATACGTGCTGGGTCCATGCCAAATTCTGAAGGCAGAAAACGCTATGCCAAAGAACAAATTTTATAAGTTTTAAACTTATCTAAAATTTTACATGATTGAGATGATATTAAATGATTCAATGGTTCTATTCGACTATTACATTATTATTTCAAAACCAGCACAGTAATTAGTCATATCGAGCAAAATGACGTTGTTGAATGATTTCTCACCTTTCATTTCCACCGATTAGCATACACTAATTACACTTTGGACCCACTCATTTCATTTGGTTCTATAACAGTTGCTGCTAAATCAAATTGCAGTACACCGGGGGCTGAATTCAGCATCTTATGATTTAATTTCTCGTTCAAGGAAGTAATGCTTCATTAACTAAAATATTGACTTTTAAAGCTTGAAGGCTACAAAGGTAGGTGTAGAATACAGAACATACCTTGACATTGCCTGCAACTTTGATGGCCTCAACAAGTTTGAGCTGCAACAGCAAGTTGTGAGAGCGAAAATGAACCCCAGACATGGGGCAAATCACAACATCCACAAGTTTCACAGCATCCACCAAGCTCTGATGATCAGCAATAGAAGCCTCCACAAGGTGAGCACCTTGCTTCTTGAATGAAAGCAGCATCTGCAGCTTCTCAATGTCTAACCCTATCTCTGGACGTTGAAGAACATAGGTTTCATGCCCTTGTTCTAGACTTGCCTTCACTATCCTCCTTCCCACATACCCAGTTCCCCCCACAACAAGGACCTTGCTCTTTCCCATTGCCTCTCCTTTAGACTATATGGACCAGCCAATGCCAACTATATATATATATATAGTAGACTTGTCAGAAACTCAAGCTTCACTTCCAAGTTTGGTCTTTCTTGTTTTTGCATATTAAAGTGTTGTAACTAGAAAGAAACAAATATAGAAAAGGTGTAGTTCAAGTTACTCTCTACAAGTACAAAATTTATGGCCTTGAAAGAGAAAAATATCATTGTCAATCTTTAAGATTGATTTGAAGAAAACGCTAGAATTTTATTCAAAATTAAACAAGCTATTCAATTCTTACGTTTATCATATTTTTAGCCAAAGTTTGTTGTTTTCAGATGGTTAAAATCAATTTTAAAAATTGATGTTAAATAACGAAGTAGATTAAAAAAAGAAAAAGTATGCATTTTAAAAGAGCTTGCCAAGAGCTAATAATTAAAGGAAAGTTGATTTCTCAACTTAGTCAAAAGCTGATGAAATAGTGGCCATTAATTGTGACAACACTGATAATGAATCTCTAAAATATCTGTGTTCAGTTCATTAAGAATTATTTCCTCCATATGATTCCTTCCTTATAAACACTAACTTTTAATAAATCTTTTTAAATTTATTTCATTCCAACTCTTATATTTTAGACAATATTAAAAAACATGCTATCGTGTCCTGTTACAGACATTGTATGTAATTTATTATTATTTTTTTTGTGACAGATTTTGATGCCATGTTGACACACGTAACTCCGGTCTCTCTTGATTATCTCTGATTTGATGTTTTTCTAAAAAATAATAATATTAATTTTGTTTGGTAGTTTGGAGGTGCTGTTGTTTCATCTCTTGTTGAAAAAGAAAAGGTTGAAATTCAGAAATTAAACTGTGGAATTTGACCAACGGATGAAAAATGAAGAGAAGGTTACATGAAGAATGATGTTGTTGGTTGTTCACCAACAATGGCATGTGGAAAACCATAGCATGGCTGTTGAGCCATCCATTCTTCATATGAAAATCCATAAATGTATGTCATCACCATAACAAATCATATTAATGAATTGTTTTGGATGCTTAAAATTATATAAAAAAACGATTTAATCGCACATTTACTGAAAATAAAAAATATATTTAAAAATATAAAAAAAAATCTTTATAACATGGTTGTAGAGAGAAAAGAAATAAGGTGGGAGAAAAAAAGAGAGTAAGAATTGTTTGATTAGAGAAAAAAACAAAGGTTAAAAAATATATTATAATTATTTTATTAATATTTATTTTAGAGTAAATTAAACCAACATCTTTTGAGATTTTCCGAAGATTACATCCAAGATTTTAGTTTTTTTTTTAATTCTACAAAAAAAAAAATCTTTGTGTCAAAATCATTTATATGTTACCCATTCTCATATTACATGTACACTCTTTAAGTTTTAAAAATATTATACTTATATTCTTTTAAATAAGTTCTAATTAGGAAAATCACTTTATTAATAGTGAATTAACACCATAATATAAATCTCAAGAGTGTGTTTACTCTTAATGATTAAAATTATTTTTATTAATATTTTATTTATTTAATTATATTATTTTTTATTTTTATTATATTTAACAAACCAGAACCTTTATAAGAAAATAGGGTGAGATTGTGGATTTTTTATAGTCAACTATTGAGTTGTTTCTACGAAAGAACAAAAAAATAAGTGTTACATACAATATAACACAACATAATCTATTATTTTATTATATCAGTAACATAGTTTTTTTTTACTGTAGATCCCACCTAAATCTTAAAAGTTTCTCTTCAATTTTTCTCTGAGAAATTATTGATATTTTTCTACCTTTCACAAAAAATGATTATATATTGAAAAACATTATTCTTCCTTTGCATTATCGTGATGAGGGAAGCATTTTGAAGTTTTGGTTGAATTGGATGGGCCATCATAGGAATTGCATCACATGCACGACACTTTCTTCCTCAAAATAACATTATTTGATTGTTTGCTTAGTGACTATGTTCTAAGCATTGTCCATTCAAAAGGGTGTCATTTGAAAATTGAAGCAAGGCACCAACTTCATTTGACAAAGTTGTCGGGGTAGTTGGTTTAACAGGCTCTATCTATCAAATTTTAAATAGCTGAACTGATATCCCACACCTCTAAAGATTATTTTAAATTCTTTTTAATAAATTTTTAATATTTTTTATAGATTAATTAGATATTTTTTTATATTATGAAAAATATATAAATGATTATTATAAATAAATAAATTTTTTAATATATGGGTTAGAATTAAAGCTCTTCTGCCTAAATTGATCTTATGGTTAAAAAAAATAAAAAAATATTATTTAGTTTTAAATGGATTATAATTTTTATGTAGGCAATTCTATGATAGGTCACCATGTTAATTAACTAATTTTAATATGATAAAAGATAAATTATAATATATTTATATTAAAATTATTTTTCCAAAAAATTAAATAAAAAAGTTTAAAAAATAATATTAAATAAAAAATATTTTAAAAATTTAAGGTATATTAATAAAATTAAATTTTATAAATTATAATTTTTTTTATTAATTCTAATAATAAGAATTAAAGTTTTGTTTTTTATTCTAACCTTCGTCCTTTAATAATACAATGATTTAAAGTAACATTTACTTTTAATTCTTATTTTTAAAGTAAACGTCTTCTTTCCTAAATTAATTTATAATATATGTATAAAATATTATTATTATTTTATAAAGTATATTAAATTATAAACCTATAAACTAATTTAATTATATAATATTAAAACTAATATGATTCAATATAAATCATAAATTTTTAATTTTTTTTAATTTTTTTACCTTTTAAATCACAAATTTAATGTATTTTAACACTCTAATTAATTTAAATATAATTTTTTTTGGTTTAAATATAAAAATATATGTCTTACTTCATCATTAATTTAATTTAGTTTAACTTACCTTTTTAATTCTAATTATTCCATTTTTAATTTTTTGTTATTTTATTTAATTATTGTTAATAGTAAATAATTCAATAATTTCAACATTTTAAACAATACTTAGTTAATAGAGGCGTAAATATTGTTAATATGATGATATAAAAATTAGCTTGAGTAAATGGGATTAGGGATTTTAAAAAATCAAATTACATCATATTTTAAGGATTTTATTTTCTTTCTAAGTAATATTTTAGACTATAAAAATTGAGAAGTGTGACTTGTGTGTTGTGATAATCATGACATTGGGATCATTGGTGGTTCCCTATAAACTTCAGTCTTTTAACCTATTATATTACTAATTCCTTAGTTTAGGGATTAATCAGAATTAAAATTTGTGGTCTACAACTACATTTTTGTTAAACTAAATGGAACTTAATTTTCTTGTTTCAGAATGAACTTGATGTGTCCCATTTGAATTTGTAAATATAAAATAAATATGTTAATATTATGTTTTTTTTTGTGAATTTTTTATTTCATGTTTTCTTTAAAATATTCTCAATTTTTATAGTCTAAAATATTACTTAGAAAGAAAATAAAATCCCATTTGATTTTTTTTTTAATAGAGCCTAAATACTTTATTTTATTGGTCTAAGGAAGCTGACCATAAATTATTCATAAAGGAGTGGTTGAACTCACATTATATGAATTAAACAAAAGTTGTTCTATTATAACGAGGTTATGTTCTTTACCTGCAATATTAACTTCTGATAAATGTGATTAAAATTTCTTCAGTAATATTATGTGATTTTGAACTAATTGATAACTAAGATTCCAATATTAATATATAAAATAGTTTAACAAGTTTACGAGAATTCCATAAAAAATTACTTGGATAATTCTAAGACATCATCACCTTCAATATATCCATACACTACTGCAGAAAAAACTTTTTACATCGGTTAAAATGGACTTTCTACGTCGGTTAAAGCGGCGACATAGATACGGGGTCATAGAAAGTAAGGCTTTCTACGTCGGTTCCTAATAACCGACGTAGAAAGTCTTACTTTCTACGTCGGTTATTAGGAACCGACGTAGAAAGCCCTACTTTCTATGAGCTACTATGATCGGTCAAAACTGGTTCTGATCGGTCATAGAGCTATTCTGATCGATCATAACTGGTTCTGATCGGTCATAGAAAGACTTTTTACGTCGGTTAGTCAGGGAACCGACGTAGAAAGTCTTACTTTCTATGAGCTATTCCGATCGGTCATAGAGCTATTCTGATCGATCATAACTGATTCTGACCTGTCATAATACTTTCTATGTCGGTTAAAACTTATAACCGACATAGAAAGTCTTACTTTCTATGTCGGTTAAACTTATAACCGACATAAAAAGTCTTACTTTCTAACTTTCTATAACCCCAGTATCTATATCGGTTAAAAGTAACCGTGATTGTATGTCTTATCAATGTCGGGTATGCCTATAACCGACATAAAATGTTACACTTTCTACGTCGGTTATGTCATTAACCGACGTAGAAAGTGTTATTTTTTTTTTTAAATAACTGCATTTTCTTTACAGATGCTACCTTTCTTCGAGTAGACCTGCCTATTCATCACAGTTCCAGACAAATATTCACAGATCCAGTACAGACAGATATGCATAGTTCATATATAAATTTGCTACAGATATATATCCAGTACAGACAGATTCAGTTACAGACAGATATGTACATATGAAACATATTGAAATCAATATATATACCTCAGTTCCAGACAGTTCATTTACTTAAACGAATGTAAAATTGCTAACTTAAATCAATTCAATCTAAATTATTACAAGTCAAATTTGCTATGAAGATTGAATACTTAAAAGGAAAGAAGCCCACTGCTCTCTAATATCGTCTAACACTTCAATCTTCATTGGAGATGAGTCTGTAAATGCCTACATATTGAAACATTTCAGATTTAGAAACCATTTACATAATTGGCATATTTGACTTAATTATAGTATATTTACCTCCCTCCATGAGCCCATAATATTTTTGTCTACGATGGTGTGCATGTGCTTCATCACATAATACCCGCACTCATGGCTTCCCGGTTGGCGTGGACACTACAAGTTAAATACATGTCAGTTTAACTTTAAATGACAAATTGAACAATAGTAAGAGGTGTTTGGTCACCTTTGGTGCAATATACGTCAATTTCTTTCTAGCATGAGATGGAAGGCCTTGCAACCTTAGGTGAGCTTCCAAAGCTCTACAAAAGGACAAATAATTTTGGTGTAAGTAGTGCACATATGATACAACAATTAAAAAAACCAAACTTACGCGTCTATGTGCTTTCTAATATCCAAATCATTTGGTTTCTTGTGTAATGAACACAAGAGAATCACAAGAAATTGCCGAGGAACAATGATTATGAGTCGCCAATGACCCCTGCACGTTGAAATAATATTAGTAAAATTTCAGTTTTACATAAATGTGCATTAATTTATAAGATGTATACTTACTGATGCAAGTAAGGTGCTAAGTAGACTTCTTTGCCCCCAGTTTGAAATGCCTCTATTAAGTACGTTTGCACCCTCTTCAGCTTTATTTCCAACGGACTGAATGGCAACAGGGTCAACAAATCCATAGAGAAAGCGGATCTTCCTCTCAACACACAAACGATGTAAATACCTTCAACATTGAAAATAAATAAAGTTATAAAATAATGTACCAGTGAGAATATAAAAAATATGTAAATATACTTACAATTCCCAAAGCTGCAACACTGATACACATAACATATCAGTACCAGCGAGAAGATCAAAAATATCCCTTTGGAGTAAGAAAAAAGGGATCGTCTTGGTCCTGCATACGACTTCGGGTGGCATATCTAACTGTATGGGAGTGGTCCCGATAGTCGCTGCCAGTGCACCGAGTCGCTGTAAAGCAGATGGTGGTGGTGGTGATTCATGCACAACTTCCTTTGCTTTTTCAGCCTCTTTCTATACAAGTACCAAAAATCAATAACATTAATATACATCAACCTATCAAAAAATAATAAGTACTATCGTTCAATGCATAAATCAACCTGTGCATGTGTTGGGATGGGTCTTGTTAATGAAACTGGCCATAAGATAAAATGGCCAGGTGCCTGTCCCACTGTTTGAACCTCTTCAGTGGGAATAGGGATTGGGGCAGCAGCATCCCGGACATCTACAACCACCACTCTGATCATATCATCTCCAATACTCTGGTGGTGGATGGTTGACCCCAATGCATACATTTTCCCTAAGGTAAACAAAGGATAAAATATGTTAGACTATATAATGCTTAACACTGTACCAAATACATGTCAAAGATATAATACGTACTGTATGCCACCAAATGCTCGGGAGGACCCGCAACATACAACTGACAGTCAGCAGTGTCAGTAGGAGCAACCTCTGCCCCTCTATCAGGATGCCTCTCTCCTTTGTGCTGACATAAATCGGGGATGCCTCTCGTGCGGGGACAGAAGGTTGAGAGGACAAAGATGTCAACTCTGCTCGCATTGAGCTCAATAACTCTGCCTTCAAGTCAGAGTACACCTCATCTCGAATCTCCTTCCTAATTTGTTGTTTGAGGGACTCAAACTCTTGCTCATTCAGCTGCCTCAAAGAAGGAGTTGCCACGGGTGGGGCACCAAAGTACTGTCTGATGCCCACCCCTCGTCCAGCACCACGAACACGTCCAGGATGCTCTGGGGTACCAATGGCCACTGCCAATATATCCTGACGGCCATGTGGGTGGAATGATCCCTGAGTGCTCTGCTCAACCAACTCATCCTACAACACAAACGAATGATTTTTTAGCAAATACAAATGCCTGTTGTAGTATAACATATATAATTAGTTTAGGATATGCTACTTACAATACGTTGAGCAACAACATTAGTTTGCTCAGATAAGTAATTCCCTGATGAGTTCTGGCGAGCTCTCTTCCATTTATCATGGCGTGAAGGGCGGGTGACAGAACTCACAACGGAGTCATCTGAAGGTAGACTTGAAGAAGTCTCCTTCATCATCTTCTCCTCCAATTTCTCATAACCCCCACGAGACAACCTGTGGGGGTGGATATTCTTTCTCTGAATATCCTGTGCCTTCTGCCTCTTGGCCTGTTGCATTCCATGTTAAATACCAAATTTAAAACCTCTATTTAAAAAAAATTACTGCAAACATATTGTAGTTGATAGTGACATGTGTCTTCTTCACATATCGGGCAAGCTTTATGTCCCTTTGTGCTGTAGCCACTCAAATTACCATATGCTGGAAAGTCATTAATTGTACAAAATAACATTGCACGCAACTTGAATAAGTCACCTGTGTACCCATCAAACACATCAACACCTTCCTCCCACAACATCTTCAACTCTTCAACCAATGGGCTTAAAAAAACATCAATGTCATTTCCAGGTTGTCTGGGACCCGGGATCATCAAAGATAGCATCAAGTACTTACGTTTCATACACAACCACGGAGGTAAGTTGTAAATAACTAACACCACAGGCCATGAACTATGTTTACTGCTTAAATTTCCATATGGATTCATTCCATCTGTAGCAAGTCCAAACCTAATGTTTCTTGGATCATTACCAAAATTCTGGAAGATGGAATCAATTTTTTTCCATTGCAATCCATCTCGTCGGATGCCTCAACCGACCATCTTTAATACGACTATCTGCATGCCATCTAGTGAGCTTTGCATCATTTCCATTAGTGAATAATCGTTTCAACCTTGGAACAATGGGAAGATACCATAACACTTTTGCCTGGGTACCCTTCATTACATCATTGTCGGAATCACCATCCTTCTTCTTGTATCGTGATTCCCCGCATTGTGGACATTCGTGACAGTTCTCAAATTATTTCCTGTACAACACACAATCATTCGGACATGCATGAATTTTTTGGTACTCCATACCCATTGGACACAATATCTTCTTAGCATCATAATTGCGGGTTGGCAATGTGTTACCTTCAGGGAGCATGTCACTCAACAACTCAAGCAATTCCGTGAAACTTTTATCGAGTCCACCCATTCTTTGCCTTCACATTGAACAATTTTAGTACCAGTCGACAATCGTGTGAACTTAGTACAATTTGTATACAAAGGCTCTTTTGCATCATTGGACAACTTCTCGTACACATGTGTATGTTGGAAGACATCTTGTCCAAGCTCACGAATCATTTCCTCCAGCTGATCATCCATCTCTAGATCAACTTCTTCTTTGTCTTCTACACTTGGCATGTTTAATAATTCACCATGCCATGTCCACTTTATGTAACTCTTTAGGAAATCATCACAAAGAACATGTTCCCGAATAACTTCAGTCGGTAATCTTCGCTCATTCAAGCAGTTAACACAAGGGCAATAGAATCTTCCATCATTATCCGGAACATTCATCTTAGCAAATTCAAGGAATTGTTCTACTCCACTCTCATATTCATTTGTTGTTCGTTTATAATTGATCCAACTCCGATCCATTGTTACGAATCTAATTTTCAAAATCAAATTAGCTACAGAAACACGAAATAACTACATTATAATGCCTACACGAAATCCAACTCCACTCTCAAAATAACTACATTATAATACAAATCTAATTTTCAAAATCAAAATCACGAAAGAATGCCTACAGAAACACATTCAAATGACTAAACTACTTACAATACATCTCTAAATTAGCTAAAGGCACCCGTGATGTTTCCCTCTCTTGACAGCATTATTACTTACTAGGTTCAATACTGTAAACCTACAATGGCTAAAGCAAGCATGAAAACTTACCTCTTGAAGACCTACAGAGGTGGCAGGTGGCCTGACGTGCAGAGCTGGGTGGGGAGAAACGTATCCCAGGCGACGGGCACCAGTAGCAGCAGGCAGCACGAAGCGTTGACAGGTGGCGTGACGAGCAAATGTGGGTGCGGAGAAACGTACACAGGCGAACGGGGAGCTCTGCTATGGGTGAACTGATGAAAAGAAATGGAGCGTAGGGAGAAACGTACAGGGGAGCTCTGCTATGGGGGAAGTGATGAAATGAAATGGAGGGAAGGAGGACGGTAAAACAGAAGATACTATGTCGGTTGCCCTAACACCCGTCATCAAAGACACTTTCTACGTCGGTTAAGATTTACCCGACATAGAAAGTTCACTTTCTATGTCGGTTAAATGTTATGTCGGGTAAATCTTAACCGATGTAGAAAGTGAACTTTCTATGTCGGGTAAAATTTAACCGACACAGAAAGTGACATTTCCACTTACTATGTCGGTTAAAACTTATCCAACATAGAAAGTTTATGATTTTATTACAAAATTACCACCGCGCCACATACTATGACGGGTGGACTACGACCGTGATAAAAACCTGTCATAGAAAGCTATTTTTCCACTAGTGATAAGATATACCAAAGTAGCTGGTTGAGTATATTGTTATATATAAGGCCTCATCATAAACACATCTTCACCTCACAACAATGCAATCTGTCTGTCAAGATAGGTCACAGAGAGATGGAAAAGAGCAGAGTGCTTATTGTTTGGGGGAACTGGTTCATAGGAAAAAGGTTGGTGAAGACAGTAATAGTATGGCTCAAGGACACCAAACATATGTCCTTCACATGCCAGAGATTGATGTTGACATTGAGAAAGTTCAACTCCTCTTGTCATTCAAAGAGCAAAGGCTAGGCTGGTTTCAGGTTCCATCAATGACCATCAGAGCCTAGTGAATGCTGTGAAACTAGTTGATGTTGTCATATGTGCCATATCTGGTGTTCATATCTGCAGCCACCAAATCCTCCTCCAACTTAAACGTGTTGATGCAATAAAAGAAGCCATGTCAAGGTAATTAATTTGCATGTAATAGAGTCTCATCATGATATATATCATATCTGATTCTTATAATCATATGATATTGGTTACATTATTATTCAATAGATATTTTTTACTCAACTTTATTCTCTACTATATATGCACAGAGATTTTTCCCTTCAGAGTTTATGACTCTCTCTCAGTTCCCTATACTCTCAAGCAAGACAAGCACAAAAAAGCTCTTAGAACAAAGTCCTAAAAGCTTTGGTCATATTTTACCACCTACGGTGTCTTTTTTGACCTACCAAACTTTCTGTCACGTAGTATTCTTAACACTTTCTATGTGTCGGTCTATTCTTTCATTTAAAACTACACTAATATTTTAATGTGCAAATGAACACAGGGCAACCATGTGAGCAGCAAGTGGGAATGGTTCATTACTACCATGTTTGATTTGAAGGAGGGGTTGAAGCTTGTGAATTGGTACCCTCAAATAAAATACACTACTGCTGAAGAATACATGAAACGCTAGGTATAGAGGCTGATATTTGCTTTGTAGGTCGAACTATATTGTATCAATATCCCTTCAAATATTGGGTTAAAGAAATAAAATTTTCATTTTACGTCACCATATTCTCTGATACTGCAAATGCAACGCAAAGATGCTTGTGATCATAAAACTGATATCATTAATATGTCTTTTTACTAGTAAAGAAACATGAGAAGAAAAAGAGAAGATGAGAACAAACGTTTGCGATGCACAAATTTGATATTACGTGCAATTCATGCAAGGACATGTCATGTTGTTGGACTATAATTAAACCATTGAAAAAAAAAATTATTAACAACTTTGATTCAAAGTTTAAAAAGTGGCAGGAATCTTGTTAAAATTAGAAGGTTATTTGTAAAAGGATAACGTATTTCATTTAAAAAAATAAAAATGAAACATAGTGGGTGGCATATATTATGATTAGATTAAAATATATACACATGAGGAAAAGAAAGAATAAGCATTTATCTATAAAATACATGCTAACAAAGCAAACTATAAAAGTTTCAACGACAAAGAAAACAAACTAATTCTCTAGTTCATGTTTTAAAATAAAAGTAAAGCAGAGAAAATTTGAAATAAAATAAAGTGCATCTTATTTTCTAATACATGTCATAAACACGACATAAATCCTCGTTGTATCCACTCCAGCGAATGATTTTAATGGAACAAGCCTGATTTTGCTGCTTTAAAATAACATAACAACTTACGTTAACCAGAAGTTTCAAAAATTTTAAAAATTATAATCACTTTTTTAATAATAAATTTTAGTTTGTGGTGATTTTTAATTTTAACAATTAGTTTTTCATAATATTTAGCTTCAATAAATTATTTTATTCATATCCAAATTACTTTAAATGTATACTTATATGATAGATGGAGATAATAATAACGATGTCAATTACCAGTTATAATAATAGTGAGAATAATGTAATAATAAAGGAAAGACTTATCGTGAAAGATATTTTTTTTTTAAATTAAGTACAAAACTAATAATTTCAATTTCATTATTACGAAATATATTTTGTCTCAGAAGTTACAGTTAACAAACATACACTAAAAAAATGCTTATTATCTACGGGTAAAATCTGTAGGTAATGCACTCACCTAAACAAAATATTTTTATTTATTATAAAATAATTTTATTACTACCTAGGACCCCCTCTCCTTTATTATATTTTCAGAACTTTGAGTTATTATTAGATTATGGGAATTGTCATTGACAGGATTTGAACCCAATACCTCGAGTTTGAGGCTAATACTCCAACCACTAAGTTATTTAGATATCTTGATAATAATTTACAAATAAATTATATTTATATTTATCCGTGTAAATATATAAATATAAAATATATAAATATAAAATATATATAAATATAAAATATATAAATATAAAATATATATAAATATAAAATATATAAATATAAAATATATATAAATATAAAATATATAAATATAAAATATATATAAATATAAAATATATAAATATAAAATATATAAATATAAAATATATAAATATAAAATATATAAATATAAAATATATATAAATATAAAATATATAAAAATAAAATATATAAATATAAAATAAATTTATATTTTGATATATTTATATATTTGTATTTATATATTTATATATTTAGTTGTAAATTATTATTAGAATATCCTAATAGTTTAGTGGTTGAAGTATCAGTTTTCAACTTTAAGATACTGGGTTCAATTTTTGGTAGTGACAATTCTTTTAGTTTAATATAATTTACCTACGGATACGGATGACATTACCTACGGATAGAATTCCGTAGTTAATAGGCTTTTTTTTTAGTGATATGAAAAACTTAATTTTTATCCTAGATGTTAAAAACATGTCATCACATCTTACGTAAATAAATTGACTCTTTATTCTAACTATAAAAGGGGTGTTGTTCATTCTTTTTGTCACATTGAAAAATCTTCTCTACTTTGAAAATAGAGAACTTGAAAAGCACAGAGAGTTGAGATGGGTGATAAAAAGAAAATGGAAGATGAGGTATTTATCATTTTTAAGTTTCATATATAGTTTTACCTTCTCATTTTCTGAGTTTTTCTAACAAAGTTTGAATATTTATTATGTAAACAAAAAAATGGTTGAAAACAGATACGTAAACGAATGGTGCAGATGAGCATAGATGCTGAAAAGGAATATCTGGAGAAGGCAAAGAGGGCCATTATCGTCTACAACCCTTCTTCCTCCTCAAATTTTATCGTAAATATTGTAAAAAATACCAAACCAAAGAAGTGAATCACACAACTTTCTCTTACGAGTAGATAAACAAATGCTGAAAATATATGTCTAAATGTTCATAGTTCAAAGATATATAATTTAGTTGTTAGAAATTTTTATTATGTTTATTAGGCTTTTATATTTTTATGTATTTTTATCAAAGAAATTATATAGTTATGTGTCATTTCCATTTTATTTAAATGATCTTGTCAGTTTTTATATCATATGTAATCAAATGTTTTTAATCTTTACTTAGTCCCTTTATTAAATAATTTTTTTATCATTTTAATCAATTAATAATAATTTTCAATCAAATGTAAATGTAATAGTTTTATTATTTTAATTAAATTCTAATTTTTAAAATAAAAACGTTAATGTTTGTATATTATTTCTTTTTTTTCAATATAATAATATGATTTGAAATATTTCCTTGTTTACAATTTAGTACAAGTTTAGAGATTTGTGTTATTTTTTATAAATTAAAATAGAAGTGATAATGGAATTAGAGAATATTATTTCACATTATTCCCGTAAGAATATAATTTTTCCACTCCTTATAAGAATAAAAACTGTATAAATATGGAATTTAAATTTTGAAAAAGAAAAGAGAATATTTCTATACTAATAAAAAAATAATTATTTTCACTTTCATAAATAAAAACATGAAACTTCAAATATTAAGAGTATATATACATGGTAGTTATCATAGTGGCTCAGGTTATATATCTGCCAAAGTAAAAGAAATTATAAAGTCACTTTTTTTATTATTATTTATAGGATTACTTAAGCATGTGAAAGAAAAAAAAAACTATCTTATCTTCTTCTTCCTAAATTTCAAGGAAAAAGTAAAAAAAATAAAAAATTAAATGCATTACAAATAAACTGAGAATTGTTGATTTATTTCTCTTCTTAGTTGACACAAAAAATGGTTATCACTCTATTTTAAGTTCAAACCTGAATTAATAAATTGAAAAGTGATTAAAATAGATTTTTTTGTTAAAAAATTTTAAAGTTGATTAATTTGATTTCATTTTTGATTTGACATTTAACAACCCACTCAAAGTAGAATCAAAATTATAATATATAATATTAAAATTAAAATACATATTAGTTATTTTTTTATAATTTAAAATATAAATGATTATTATTATTATTTAAATTAAATATAAAAATATAAGAAAACAAATTAAAATAATAAATATTACTATTAAATATGAATGATAATTTTATAATATATTTTTTATTTAATAATTATTTTATTATATTATATTTAATAGTAAAAATAACAAAAATGGCTTAAATCAAATTATATAACATTGATTGATTCAGATTTTTTAAAAGATTAAAATCAAACCACATATTCGCTGGAATGATTTTCTATTTGAATACCCAACCAAACTGGACGAACACCTGAATTAAAAAAGACATACTTCTATTCCTCACCTTGTTCCCATCTGAGGTGGGTCTTAATCTCACCTATTTTGATGTTACACATCTCAAACACATTATTTCTACCTCTAACAGGTTACTAAATACGATTAACAAAATGGAAGGGTGGACAAAGAAGCCACTTTTACTGCTATTCTAGAGGTTGAAATATTCAAACAATTGACTTTTCCTCTAAGCCAAAGCAAACACTTCATTTGTATTTCTCCCAAGTCAGCTAAAATTAGCATTTCAAGCCTTCAAGCCATGTATATTCCAACATATCACTAGAAGACACAATTATTATGTGTAAGGGCCCAGGATACACACCTTCGGGCTAAGTTTAACAGCACCAATATTTAATATATATATATATATATACATACATAAACGGCTCACAACAATACATTAACAAGAAAGGACATGGAAAACTTGAGAGTGCTTATTGTGGGGGGAACTGGGTACATAGGAAAAAGGTTGGTGAAGGCAAGTTTGGCTCAAGGATACCAAACATTTGTTCTTCATAGGCCAGAGATTGGTGTTGACATTGAGAAGGTTCAGCTTCTCTTTTCATTCAAGGAGAAAGGGGCAAAGCTAGTGTCAGGTTCCTTTAATGATCATCAGAGCCTAGTGAATGCTGTGAAACTAGTTGATGTTGTCATTTGTGCCATATCTGGTGTTCATGTCCGCAGCCACCAAATCCTCCTCCAACTTAAACTTGTTGATGCAATCAAAGAAGCTGGAAATGTCAAGGTAATTTAATTTGCACGTAGGAAAGTCTCATCATGTCATATATTGGTTAGATTACACTATGATTCACTAGAAATTGTGTCCATTAAACTAGTTGACACAAAGCCAACCTATGAACTCTAATTGACTCAACTTTAGCTTGTGGCCCTTTAGAATTGATGTTCTGTACCATGCACAGAGATTTCTCCCTTCAGAGTTTGGGACTGATCCGGCAAGAATGGCACATGCATTAGAGCCTGGAAGAATAACATTTGACGACAAAATGGTCGTAAGAAAGGCCATTCAAGAGGCTGGCATACCATTCACCTATATTTCTGCTAATTGCTTTGCTGGTTACTTTCTTGGTGGGTTGTGTCAAATTGGCCATATAATACCCTCTACGGATTCTGTGGTCATATATGGAGATGGAAACGAAAAGGGTAAGTGACTGCTATGTACTTTTCAAATTGATCATTCTGTCCAAATGTTTTATGACTCTTCTGAGCTCTTGAAATGGTTTCAAACAATTTATTTACTTGTTTTGTTTCAACTATATGTATGTGTGTCTTGAATTTGGCAGGGATCTATGTGGATGAATATGATATAGCCATGTACACTATCAAAAGCATAGATGACCCCAGAACTCTAAACAAAACAGTTTACATTAGGCCACCTGAGAACATATTATCACAGAGAGAGGTTGTCCAAATTTGGGAGAAACTGATTGGGAAAGAGCTGCAGAAAACTTCAATTTCGGCAGAACAGTTTCTAAGTTCCATGGAAGGTGAGATGAATATCATTGATCACCAATATTATCTGAAGAATGTAAAATCATATAACATGTTCACTCTGAACATGTATCTTTCTTGTACTTGCCCTCTTGCCTCATCTGTCAAATTACATGCATTCATATGATCTTATTTCTTAACACTTCCTAATTGTCACATACATTATTTCTTTTGATAAATTATGATAGTAGTTTATTGTGCAAATGAACACAGGGCAACCATATGAGCAGCAAGTGGGAATGATACATTACTACCATGTTTGCTTTGAAGGATGCCTCGCAAATTTTGAGATAGGAGAAGAAGGGGTTGAAGCTTGTGAACTGTATCCTGACATCAAGTACACTACTGTTGAAGAGTACATGAAACGCTATGTATAAAAGGGTGTTTGGGAATGAATCCCATCAAAGATTATGTTAAATAAAATAAAAAATTGCGTTTGTGCTACTGTAAATAAGGAAACAAAATGATATAACAATTGCAAATGCAATGCATAAAGCCAAACTTCTTTACTTTTTGGCTTCTTAGAAGATACTTTGTTCTTAACTCACCAGTTCCAGTGTTTCAACTCCTATTTATGCTAAGTGGAAAGAAATTATTAATATATTTTAATTTGATTTTTTTAAATATCAAAATTATTTGTTATTTATAAAATTATTTTATTTTTTAAGTCTCTTATTATAATATAGCTTAAGAAGAAGTTTTAATTAATTAATATTTTTTAAAAAAATTTATTTCACAGATAGAGTCAAACTGAGTTGCAACCCATATATTGATTAGGTGAGTGTTAAAACAGACTATTAATAAATTTAAATACGTTCATTCCCAATGAGACTTTGTTTGGACTGTGATGAAAAATAAGAAAATGTAAAACAAAATAAGGGAAAAAATTATAAAAAATAATTTTTTTATATTAAATAAAAAAATAAATGAAAAAAAAATTATATCTTAGTGATTGATATTGGTTTTAAAAAAATAACTAGTTTTTTTTTTCATAATGTTTCTTATATTATATATTAGGTTAATTTAAAATAAGAATATTTTGAACTTTTACTTCATGTCAATTTATCTTTCTTCTCTCCATTCCCATTTTTCTATCGTTTATGCACCTATATCTATACAAATCCCTTCTTGTTTATCACCACAAGAATCAAATAAAGAAAATAAAAAAAATTAAGAACTTCAAAAATATTATTATTTATTAGTTGAAAACTTTTATGGTAGATAATTAATATCATGTAACTTTACAAGTGGAATTAAAACCTTTCCTCTCCATAGTTTTCTAATCAAAATAATTTGATTTTCACATTATTAAAATTTAGCTTACCTTTTATTTTTATTATTATGGATAAGTATTTATAATATTTTAATATGTCCAATACCAAATTATCACATAAATTAAACGTTATTATATTGATGGTGAAAGATTCTTGAAAATAAGCAACATGTTCTAAGTTGAATAATGATGGAATTGAAATGGTTTACTAATCCTATGTAAGCTGAAAGAAGTTGTTGAAGTGTCATCATAATCCATTACTTGTTTGGTTTCATATGTCATTATACCAATTCATAAGATAGCAATCACTTAACATGAAATTCATCTTCATTTAAATGCACATTTTTATACACCACACTTAAAAAAATAATTGTGTTTTAAGTTGTTGCGAACAGTATATTTTGTTAGTATTTAATGTAGATGTATGTTCAAAATTTCAATTTGAGTTAAATCAAAATAATTTTATATAGTCCATTATCACACTTTCTGACTATGTACATCTTCATTCTTCTCATTTCTAAACACATTTTTCATGAAAATATATTTTCAAAAGAATTCATTTTTAATCAATGTATTCGGGTAAAGTTAGGGAGGAATTCAATTTTCATACTTAGTTCTTTACAGAACATTTTCTTTTAACAAAAATATATGTTTTTTTCATTTTTTCCAATTTAATAAATTAAGTTAGCAACTTCATTCAACTTACAAAAGTTAATTTTCTTTTAACATTATGAATGTCTTCTATTCAGAGACTAAAAGATATTTAAGTAAAAACATGGAAGTAGCGTGTGAAAATTGATGGGGTATGACTAAATCTTGAATAATTCACAAAATAGATTTATGTCATGGCATCTCTCTTTGCATGAGAGGTTCAGGTTGAAAATGGTTTTATCCACTACCATGATTCTCTCTAATTCTCCCATTGCACCCTCTTCTCTTCCAACTTCAACGGTAAGATATTGTTCAGCACTCTTACCCAATTGCCACAGATTTACAACAACAAAAATTCAATTTTTTTAAAATTTTGCTCCAAAATTCCCTACCACTGTTTTGTACCGATTGCTTTTCTGAATCTATAGAGTGCCAAGTTGGAAACTTTTTCGCTGAAAAATGATGGGGTCATCAGAATTAGAGGAGTTAATGCTTCTTTAGTGGCACCCAGAAACCGAAAATTATCAACATGCTCTGTATCGAGAGATGGCAATGCCTCTGTTGATAATGATGCACCTTTCCCTGCTGATTACGTTCAGCTTCTCGAACAAGTAGGTGTTTCATGGTTCTCCCTCGTCAATTTTTGTTCGTTGTTACATTAAGCTTTGATATTGATGAGCCAATGTTCAGGTGATTTGGTTAGTTGGTTATATTATATGTCAAAATTTGTTGCGCAGCAGTGTTAGTAAAATTCATTGAACCAACAAATTTATAAAAATAAAAAAGGTGGGACTTATAGTAATTTGTTCAGTAGACTATGACTCAGATGCTAATTGAGTATTGAACACTAAAATTGGTGTCTTTGTTATTGAATCAACTAACAGGCAAAAGTAGCTGTGAATTTGGCTATGAAGGATAACAGACAGCTAATGGTGAGTAATTTTTTCTAGTAATTTTATCAGGAATCAAGAACAAAAGTTACAACACAGATAAAGTGAGGATCTGATATATTATAAAGCCTTTAATGAAACAATGTTGTACAGGAGATTGAGTTTCCCACAGCTGGACTCGGATCTGTGCCAGGTTCTAAACATTTCAGTTTCCATTTTTTGGTTTGAGTCCTGCTTCATTATTGTTTCAATCAGGAGCAAACTGATTTATCTCACTCAGTACATCACAGGTGACGGGGAAGGTGGAATTGAAATGACTGAGAGTATGCAATTGATTCGAGAATTTTGTGACAGTTTCATTAGTCCAGAGAAAGCCACACGAACAAGAATAGTAAGCTTCTTGGTTAATGGCATTGTTCTTCTTTGTGCCCCTGGTATGTGTTTCCGGATGAAAATTGAAAAGCCTTTCTCATGTAAAAAATGGTTTTGTCCTCCTTGCATCTCATTAACTTGGACGTTGATTTTGGTTTAAAAAATAGTTTTTTTTTTAATAGAATCTAACCAAGTTTACAGTTAGTTTCAAGTTTCTTGCTCAATAATTCTAACTCAGCATATAAATATAAACTATGATTGATACACCCAGTTGCCATTATTTAAGTCCATGGGGGATTATGAATTGATTAGTCCAAGTGGCTCTAATTTTCTTATTTATACATGTGGTCTCCCCTTTCTGCATATGTGTTTGTCTACAAATGTGTCTTGTTCTGTACAGATGGTTGTGTGAAAGTTTTTAGTGTCAATATTCAGGTTCCTCAGTTCCAAATGACATTGATGCATAACCTTGTAATGATCAGTTTTTCCCAGAGGCTAATGAAGTTGACTTTGCCAGACAATCAGCCTTTAGTGGATCTTCTTTAAAGTTGGACTATTTGACCAAACCTTCATTTTTTGAAGATTTTGGTTTTGTTGAGAAAGTAAAAATGTCTGACAGAGTGAAGACAGGAGATGAACTTTTCTTGGTTGCCTATCCATATTTTAATGTCAATGGTAGATCCAAATATCCTTTGTTATTGTTTATATAAACAATGAAAGTTTCATGATTAGCGTTCCCTGTATTTCAGAAATACTTGTTGTGGAAGAGCTTTATAAAGAGGCAGTCTTGAACACAGAACGAAAACTTATTGTTTTCAATGGAGAACTTGATCGCATAAGATCTGGATGTATCCTTTGCCAAATTGTACTGTTTTTTTAATATGAATCTACCTTCTCATATCCTCCATTTTAAGAGTTATTTTGTTTTAAAAATATTTGTTAGGTAGTAATTAGAAAATGAGTTACCAAAGATAATAGTGTTCAAGATGTGATTTTAACAAATCAACTTCTATAACCTTATAAAGTCTCAGTGTTCTAGGCTCTTTTAGATAATAGTTATCCTTGATTGGATGAAGATTATCCACCATTCTTTTATCCAAAGCTTGCTGCACTTACGAAGACCTTTCTACCTATGATGGAAACTGTGTATTACATTCATAACTTCAAGGGCCGCAACGGAGGAACACTTTTTAGGTCTGCTAGCTAAATGAACTTCTATTAGTCTAATATGTTGGAAGGCCATACTTAGTATTGTGGTAATCTGACAAATATTCAATATCTTGCTTGGAGATGAAATGGAATTTCTGTCAGTACCTAGATTTTGGTTCAGTAACTTCATAAATGCTTATGATTATGAAACTTAGTTGTTTCTCTTTTTGAGTGCATGCACTGAGGTGTTGTCTGTTTATGACATTTTCCTCAGGTGCTACCCAGGACCATGGAAGGTCCTCAGAAGAATGGGAACTAGGAAATATGTTTGTCTACATCAGCAGAATAATATGCCATCCCTCAAGGAAGTTGCTCTTGAGATTCTTCCATCTGCATGATACTTCAGGAAATAGTAATGGTAAACAATCACAGTTTCCTACGCACCATATAACTTAGTGTATCCACTATGGTGCCCTTTTTGGGACTACAATATTGTTTTAGTGTATATGATTTATAGACAAGAAGCAACATTGGCATTAACTTGAAGAGTGCTGGTTCGTTGACACCCCAAACACTGCAAACTCCTGCTTGATACCCTTATGTCTCTGTATCGCTTTGTTCTTGCTACATCATAACATCAATCTTATCTATCACTTATTTGTCTTCTCTTTTATATACCTCTGGGTGTTAACGAACCTTTTTCCTTCATGTCTATAAAAACTAATCACCTACTTTTTGGTCTGAGGAAGATAATGAAAAGAAAATTTGTGGAATCAAAGAAGATTTTATGTTGACATAATTTATAAAGTTTCTTTATAATGTGATGAGCAACAGGGGTTGGCCTCCAGCTCTTTTGCAGAAATTTACAAAGAACTCAATAGGGGTTTACCTATATAAACTGCTCTTGTTTAGAAGACATATCTGTACAGAGTTTACAGCAATTTAAATGATTAAGATAATGATTCTAGTGATTTGTCTCATGCTAATGTATTCCTAATGTTGGGTGAAGCTTTGGGATATGTTTAGTTAAGGAAGAGAAGGAATAAAAAAAATGAATGGACGGGAAAACAGTAGATAATGAAATGATTTTTAGGTTATTTAGTAGGAGAGAAAATGAAGGGATAAAAAAGGTAAAATTTCTTGTCTTCTATTTTATTGTGTAGAAAGAATAAACAAATAGAAAGATTTTATTCTTTGCCGATAATTTTACACATACTATATTAAAAAAAAAAAAAAAAATCTACATAAAGGAACATTTCGTTATCTTGAATACATGAACATACCATCCACTAATATCAATCAACTTGGACAAGTAGTGTTCTTCACCTGCTTTAATATCTGTGGGAAAAACCAAAATTGTTTAATGCAGTCTTCAGAATGAACCAGACTATATACAACGATTTACAGAAAGCATTTCCCTTTAATGAAAAATTCTTGTAGCAGAATACACGTTCCTTCATTCTGAATGCTTCTGTGTCTTCTTTATAATTGGACATAAAAATATAGTGATTGATATGGTTCGTTACACATAATCAAGGTTTTATATATTTTAATTTTTTTTAAATAAAATTCAAGTTCATAACAAATAAATGGACATGGTGATCCTGCAAATCATTCATTCACAATTGATATTATCTAACAGTCAAATGAAAATATGAATTATTTTTGCTTTGTTACAGATAAATTCAAACCAGCAGGTAAAACCCTTGACCCATCATCATCAGATTCGTTTGATTTGACCTTCAGTTATAGCTTCTTCTTTCTTCTTCCTCTTACTATAAAACCCAATTCTCAGACATTATAACAATACTTGTTCAATTATAAAACAATGTCTTTCGAAATTTGCATAGTACCCTTTTGGGGACAAGGCCATCTTTTCCCCTGCATCGAGTTATGTAACCATTTAACTAAAAGAAACATCACCATCACGCTCATCATCCCTTCCACCATTAACACTTCTCTTCCCTCTTCCTTTCTTCAACACCCCCTCATTCGAATTACGCAATTCCCGTCACCGCCTCCACTACCACCCCACGACGACCTAGCCCCGGAGCTCGAACACATCCTTGCCCACAACCCCACCCGACCAGTTTGCGCCATCATTGACATCATGATGACCTCCTGCTCCGCCCCCGTTTTCACCAAATTCCAAATCCCCACGGTCGCCTTCTTCACCTCTGCCGCCTGCTCTGCTGCCATGGAACTCGCCACCTGGAAAGCCCGCCCTTTAAACCTCAAACCCGGCGAAACCCGTTTACTCCCCGGGTTGCCCGAAACCATGACAATTACGCATTCGGACCTTAAACGACGACCTCACCATCCTCCTCCTCCTCCTCCACCGGTGGCCGGTGCAGCGAGGCCTCAGTCCGGAGGAACCGGGTTTTCTCCGCCTCCTGGGAGGGAACTACCGCACCACGGCGGAGGATTCGGATTTCCTCCGCCGCCTGGGAAGGGACAACCTGAACTGGGGGGCACACCACCATGGCTGGAGGATGTTGGAGAAACCATCGCGTTGATCATGAACACGTGTGACGATCTAGAGCGTCAATTTATTAAATACATAACAGACCATATTAAAAAACCGGTGTGGGGCGTTGGACCGCTTTTGCCGGAGCAGTATTGGAGCTCGAGCGGTTCACTTCTGCTGGACCGGGAGGTCCGGTCGAACCGTGGGTCCAGCGTGAGCGAAGAAGAAGTGAGGCAATGGTTAGATTCAAAACCACGTGGATCGGTTCTGTATGTGTCGTTTGGTACGGAGGTGGGTCCCAGCTCGGAGGAGAACGAAGAACTAAGAGAAGCACTGGTGTCATGTGAACAGCCATTTATATGGGTGATTCAAGCCGGTTCAGGGATAGAGGGTGGCGAAGAAAGGTATTTTGGGAACAGGGGTTTGATAATACGTGGATGGGCCCCACAGTTGTTGATACTGAGTCACAGTTCAACGGGTGGGTTTTTGTCGCATTGTGGATGGAACTCAACGGTGGAGGGTGTTGGACGTGGGGTTCCGTTCTTGGCGTGGCCCATTAGGGGTGACCAATGCCATGATGCCAAGTTGGTGGTGTCCCATCTTAAGGTGGGTTACATGGTGAGTGATGATATGTCAGAGAAGATAACCAAACAAGACATTGTCGTGGGAATAAAGAAGTTGATGGGCGATAAAGAAATGAAAAAAAGGGCTGAGATTCTAAGTGCCAACTTTCACCATGGCTTTCCTACAACTTCAGAGGAGGCTTTAGATGATTTAGTGGGTTATATTAAGCAGAGAGTTGTCTAGCCTCCTTATTTAACATCTATCTAATAATCTGTTTTAAGATGGGAAAATTATATATGTACAACCGAATAACTGCTTTTAATAATATATTAATAAATTATAGTTATTATATTATTAAAATCGATTGTTAAAGATGTATAATGTAAACGCGGTTACCAATGTTTCAGCGTCCTTTTTAGAATGTATGCAATAACTATTACTGTTAGGAAACCTAAGGAAATACGGAACCGATTATTCCATATATAACAAATGGGAATATTGAAGTGAAAATAAATAGATTAAGAAAAGATAAAACAAAAAATAATAGTGACAAAATATTATTCCAGAAATAAAAATAAAAGTTTATTTTTATCTTTATTATTTATTTTTTATAATATAATAATTAAGATAACTGGCTATTTGAAATTATTAAATTATAAAATAATAATAATAATAAATCTCTAGTTTTAAGAGTTAAAATAAATAAATTCCTCTAAACAAAATCCTGTACTTTACTTTTTACATATATACATCCAAGTAAAACATCTCACATTATTTCTTTTCTACTTTTATTTTTCCTATTCGTCTCCTCCGTATGTTACTCTATCTTACTCCAGATAAAAGAACATAAAATCTTAGGGTAGAGAATCTTAAGAATTACACCTTTCATTCTTCCCTCGTTAGTAAACATATAAGTTCCAACTTTTTCATGTATAGAACCTCAGTCAAGTGAAAGAAACTGCATTACTACAAATTGTAGATACAAATCTTAGGTGGAGGGGAAGATGTCATGGAGGATAAACTATGTACATTTTTACACTAGCAAATTCCATGACGAAATGAAATGACTGAACTTTTCCCTTTTCAACTTACTGGGAGCTACAAAAAAAAATGATCAGAACTATATGACAATATTTCATAATCAGATGGAATTTATCCGAATATGAATACTTTAACAAAATACAGATGCTACCAGCTTAAAACTTAAATGAACTACGTAAAAAAAAATAAAGGGAGAATGAAAAGAAGAATTTCCTTTTAATATTTCATAGAAGAACCCAATTATAAAATAATGAACCTACATCCCAGAGAAAAAAAATGGTACACGTGCATGTTCTGCAAACAAATGATTTTGTATAGAACAGAAACGACATATTGAGTCATGATGGATCCGGTTCCAGTTTTGGGACGATGGCAGTTTTGAGCTCCAAATGAGAAATACGGACAGCTCCAATAAGCCTCTCGGGCAACTCATCAGGAGTGTTTGCCTGTCAATAACAATTGTCATGATTTCACGATACATACTAAAATATTACTGTTTAAACTTTTCAAGCATTTGTTCAGAACTAAGTAAGGTCGTTATCTCTCAAGCACATGCCCAAGCATACTAATAGTAATACTACGATAAATACTATGATCCAATATTCGAATGCTCACGGTTCAAAACACAAATCATAGAAAAATCTCCAACATATTTTAACCCATTCAAGATTATCACACCAAATTGAACTTTTAAGTAAAATGTCAAAACAGCATATGTTTCGATACATATATTTAAAGCAACAAATTTTAGACCTAAAATTAGGGAATAAGAATTAATAATGATGATCAAACATAGCTATTATATCTTCATTTATCATTATTCTGATACGAAGTACCATAAATATCCATTATCCATCTCTCCCATACATATTATGTAAATTGATGGAGTGATGGACAGTTGGACAACAACACCAACGCCAACTCAAGTACATCTATATTCACACTTTTACGACAAAGTTTGCTATCCATCTTGTCACTTGGCGGTTAAAGATTTACAAAATTTAAACTTTAATTACTTGGTCTGCATAATATTATTACATGTGTGAAACCTTTTCTAACCTAAATCAGATGCATTCAATTTCAGAATAAACATAACATACTCCCCAATACAAAACTGGAAGCATGAAACCAAATTTTTATGGTCACTCCCAAATTTTTTAACTTCATTAAATTTTATACATAAAAATATTCTTTTGCGCACAATAGTGAAAACTTAAAGGAAAATACAGACAGGATTTAACCAAAGTGAATCTTCAACACACCCACTCAAAGCAGAGTAAGTCATTGTTACATTGCTAAAAATTGTTTTTGAAGCAGAAGTAGGTCAACTTAATAGAGTACTTAAAATTCCTAGCAGTTAAAGGGTAACAATAGATAATGAAATTTAAAACAATTCATTGAAACAGTAACAGATTTTTTGTCATTTAGCAAGCTCCACAATCTGAAATATTAAATACCCACAACCATCCGGGTAAAATCAACTAAAATGAAGCATTATCAACAAATGTGAAATCAATTATCAAAGCTATTATGCTTCTGCAATGTGAGAACAATGAAAGTTTCAAAACTGGATGCAACAAGAAAATGAGTTTATTTCAAATGTTGCCACATAAATCCCATGACTTGTTTAGATGTTAATTTGTAGTAATATCAAACGCACCTGTACAAGAAAAGCCATATCTACAACCAAAGTAGTAATCACACCAATAACCAGCCCCAAAACTCCATTAGCAACAGTAGAGGAACCAATATCAACATCAATCTACAATTAAAAAGTAATTGGTTAAAAAATCATGGCAAACAATTAGGATACAAGCATCATTCATTAGTGAGAAACTTCCTACAACAAGACAGACAAAAATTTAAAAAGAACTTGAATCCAAATTTACTTCTAAATACTTGGGACCACGGATGTAGTTGCAATCAACTGCCTTTCCCAGCAAACAAGGGGTACTCCCAACACTCTGGCGTACAATCCATGAGCCCTGCATTTTTAAGATGAAAAATCAAAAAGGAGTGTAAAGAGAAAGGTAGGCTTGTTTCTCCAGCCTTCATGGAAACATGGTAGTTATAAATTACAAACAAAAGTGAAAAAGAAATAAAACAAAAATGATAAATATAAATGGAAAAAAATGAAAGAAAACATAAAACCATAAATACTGTAACAATAACAGATTTGGTTCTGTGGATTAAGCCAGACCAAAATATATTATGCATCGCCTTGGTAGCAGTCAGCAAAACAGCAGCATACATCAACTTAACAAGCATTTGTTTTAAGGACTGTACAAGTTTGAACAATTTTTTTGGTCATTATTGATTCCAGGGAGGGGACATTTTCTTGTTCTGTTTTGAATTTTTCTCCCCACAATGAGAGGTGAGTATGCTGCTTTCTTGTGGTATCAGAAAAGAAGTTATCTTGTAACCAACTATTTACTTCGACCCCCATTGCTGTCCACCATGTTCTGTATCCATCCATTTGAATTTTGAAAAGCCATAAAAAAATATTTAATGCTGCTGGCAAACATGTTTTTTATTTTACCAAAAATTAACATTCCCAGCCACATATTATTTCTAAGCATGTTATCCTAATCTCTCTCTCTCTCTCTCTCTCTCTCTCTCTCTATATATATATATATATATATATAGAGAGAGAGAGAGAGAGAGAGAGACCTTAGAATCCTGTGGTTGACAACCTATGCATATCCCCCATAGCATGGAAACAACAAAACAAAGAAAATTAAAAATTCAAATCTCGTTGCTATATGATCATCTTTGAAAATTGTGTTTATTATTAAGATGTAATGCAATCCTAAAAATGGTATACACAAACCACCGTGCCACCTTAATTGATCCAAATTGCTCTAAAATATAATCCTAAACAAGGCATAGGGTCAATAAACATCATCAGGAAACTCTAGATGCACCACAGTGCTTGAAACCTTAGTTTTCAACCCAAAGTTTCACTCGTGATCATTTAGGTACAGTAGTTACTCACATTAAGACAAAGCTGACAAAAATTGATGAAATTTGATAAATTCAGTTAGTGTATATATTTGAGCCAATTTTTTGCACTTGTTTATTATGCTATGTGCAGGGTTGGATGCCCCATTGAACAATTTGGTAAAACATGAAGGAAAAAAAAACACTAAAAAGATGGGTATAGACTATTGCTTACATATGTAATGCATTGTGAATATGCAGCATAAAAATTTGTGAATCTTTTTCTAGACTGTCACTATGACATCAGTTCTGTTACTTTTTTTATTCTTTCCATTTTAGTAAGCAAATAAGGGGTAACACAATCACTATAGGAAAAGGTAGATCAAGAAAAACTATAAGCAAAACTATTTAAAAGGATATAGTGGTTCATGAGTTGTTTATACTCATGAGTAACAACACAACAGTATCACATCACTTAATCCATATAGCTAACCCCATCTAGTTGGAAAAGGATTGGTTGTTGTGAGATGCATTCAAAGTTTTTAATTGTAACAATATGTTTAAAGTTTTAATCTTCAACCAAGCCAAATAGCATCATGTAACCCATGAAGCAAACCTCATTTAGTGAGATTAGCTTTTGATGTTGTATATACTGTTAGTACAAGTTACATATTATACACAGTGTAATGTATTTCTTGAGTAACACATACAACCACCACTATCGCCATAAAAAAGGATGATCAGTGTTAGATCATTTCCATATTAAGACCTAACTATATAAGTATGATACAGCCACAAATAATAAAATTAACTAGTAAAGGCAGTGATAGTTTCCTAAATATAATGATGGAAAACTTCAGTAAATACCTTAGGGACAGATGGTATGAGCTTAAACCTGCTGTTTCGAAACTCATCATCACCGTCAACAAAGCGATGCAAGAGGGATCCAGAAACTAACTCCTTTGTCACAAAATAAAAAACCATACTATAGTGTGTTGATGCAGGCACCTACAACCAAACAGCATGCATTCATTTACTTCTAACTATAATTTTTAACGTTTAAAGTTTCCCCAGTCATGTGAACAAAAAGAACTCACTTGAAGATTAATGACAATGGAGAAAAATCCTTTTTCTGAAGCAACCTACATAGACACAAAGAATGAGGACCATAGTCAGCAAAAACCAAAACAAAGCATGCAACAACCACCCAACAACATAAATAAATAATAAAAAGGGAAATTATATTCAACTGGTTGTGGCTTGCACATATTAAACTGATAACCCTCCCATTTAAGTAAAAGATATTATCCCCCTCAATATATGTGTTTCAATTATAGGTGTGTGAGTTTTTCCAGGTTTGAGGGCAGGCATGGTCTGCAGTAAGGTGTTTAAAAGATAGTGAAGGTGTAGGGAGTTTTAAACCGAGCCAGCATTCAACAAAATACAGAAATAGCAGCATGTTGTATATATTCCATTTTGGTTTAGACATTCAATTTTAATGAATAATTTCTGAACATAAGGTATCAACCATAATTTAAAAAAAGAGGGAGGGGGGCAGGGGTTCTGCTCCTTCTTCGTTTAACAATTTATACCTAAGAGTTCACATGGAATTTTATTAAATTTTAAGCATCATCCTGTCCCATTTCAATTAACAGAGGCTGGTGTTTTTTTTTTTTTTTGTCAATAGGATGATGGGTATCTGGCATAATAAGCACAAACCTTGAGAAAGGGTAATTTAATTTTCTCTTAACAATAAATAAACTCCATCGAATATCTATGTAAGAAAAATCAATCATGTAACATGTTTACTTTTAACACCAGGATAAAGTAACAAATCTACAAACAGTGTAGCAGACATAAATGACGAAAAATGATCAAATTACTATGCTTCAAACAAGGTAACCTGGTATAACTTTCAGTTGCACAGGATATTTATGATGACTTCCACCTAGAGGACAACATGGATCCTTTGGGCGACAGGACCATTAGGAACTCCTATGCTAAACCACATGGGAATTGAGAAATGGGAAGAAGAGATATTTGGATCATCTCAAACACCTGGCCACCTGGCAAGGAGGGTGGGAAGGAAGCTGAAGAATTACAAACAAACATAAAACGGAGGGAAAAATAGAGAATAGGGGATTCAGTAACTGAATGAGTTTTGGGTTTTGGACAGAAAGGTTTGCATATTCTATAAGTTCTAGAACCATCACAAGGGACTATTTTTTGTTTCCTCTGTAGCTGTGTGTATGTTGTGATGGACCTATGATCTCTCTCTGCAATAGAGTGTAGCCCAATTTTCTATAACAAAATGCCCAACTTCAATGACCTACCAATAATCTTCATCAAGAAACAAAAAACAAAGAAAGATAAGTTAAATTACTCACTTGCGCTGCACAGCCTTGACGCCTAGCCACATGGTCTATTCTTTTGGAGTCTTTAAACCAATCTACGGCAACTAGATCCAGCATATGTTTGCCAGCAGGAACCTTCAAAGTTCACCACAAAGGAATATTAACACACCCAGACAATAATAAATTTTGATTCAGAAAGTGTAAAAGAAAAAGAGAATGAATACCTTTGACTTGTCATAGCAAAAATGCTTGCTTCTGACTCTGAAGTTATTTCCATCAGAAATTTTCCAGCAGTCCCGAGCATTATCTCGGTCATCCCGGCGCAAATTGCCCGAAAAGGAAGACAAGTCAATTTCATTTGCCGGTTCTTCTTCCAAGGCTTCAGTTTAGGAAAATATCATGAAAAGATTTAGTTGACATTCTAAGATGTGCATGTATCTTTGTGAGGAATTTCTTCATGCACAAGTTTGTAATTGTAATATCATTAAATTAAATAGGTTATAGCAAGCAATTACCTGTTCTTTTAACATCATTCTCAAGACCAATTTGGTACGCCTGAAAAAAGTTTTAGAATATTAATGCTTAAAATATATGAAACAAACCTCAAAAGTATGGATGAGGGAATGCAGATACAACCTCTTGTTCAGATTCCGCTATTTGAAAATCTTCTTCATCATCAGAATATTCATCTATCAAGGCAGAATTTCTGCTTGCAGAATTCATTTGATCAAGAGAAGCAGGATTGACAGAAAAATCATTTGGCTTCTGATTCTTCTTTGAAGAAACAGATGTTGAGGACATGTTAACCATGACAGGAATTCTTGGATGAGCGTTTCTTTCATCTGATTGGGCAAACCATTCCCGTAAACCTGTAGAAAAAAGAAAAACTATACATGAATTTTGAAACCCATTGCACAAGAGGTTCTCCGACAAAAGAGAAAGGTAAATAAAAGAAACCATGATGATAAAAGGGAGAGTGTTTTCATTCTATATAAAAAATGTAAACTGTATAAATGGAAATCAACTCACCAGCTACACTATTTAACATTTGACGGACACAATACTGCTGAAAAGATGACAGGTAACCCACACCCCATCCCTTCAGATCAATCTGCATAAGATGCTGGACTTGTGTCCTGGGCCTCCCATTTCGAGATTTTAAAGGGGAAATATTAAATCCTCCACCTGTAGAAACCAGTTCTTAGACCAAAGAAATTTAATAGAAATAAAAGAAACAAACAGAAAACCATACATGAGATGCATCAACGGCACAAACAAAAATAAATTCTTTATTGAAAAGCTAGTGAACAGTAATGATAATGATAAATCAATGACATAAAATCAGTTTATCATAAAGATCAATCTTCACTTTAAGCTGACAGAAAACCTCAATTGATTAAACGTTGGAAACCTCAATCCTTTACAAACAGTTCTAGCATTTCCATGATATCTTCCAACTGGTTAACACTCCTTACCAAATATTATTATTCTCTCCATTCTGTTGGAGGTTTTGTGTAAGAACAGTATATTCTAATGAAATTAATAAATTTCCAGACAGAGAGCTCCATTACTTTTTTAGAATTTAAAATTGGGAGTGTTCACATACATGCAACATTTTACTCCTTTTCATAAAATATTAAATTTTAATATTAAGAGAAAAGGGGCTAAAAGGATTATCCTCCTTAGCAGAAAATTGCAGATAATACAGGTTCAATAGAAAGAAAGAAAAAGGTATCAAAGCTGCTAGATTTTCACAATTCCTGATTTATTTAGAAGAAGCTAGGACCTTCAAATAAACTATTAGCAAAACACCAGAGAGGTAATACACATAACCTATTCCATAATAAATTGAGGACATCAAGACCCATTGATATGTTGATGAATCCAACTCTCTTAAACTTTGAAGGACAGAGTCCAATCTATAAGAAACTGAATCTTACTCTCAATATGTGCTCGAACACACCCGGGCTGTGGACCACAGTTTTCATGCTCCCGTGAGCGAAATAAAACAACTACAAGAAGAAGAAACATCAATGCAAACTTCAAAAGTAATAAACACAAAGTTCCATAAAGAGTTCTTTTAGAGCATTAATTCAGGAACACACTCAATAGTGGCCATTAAACGTGTTTGATAACTTAAAGAAAAGTATTACATGTTTGAGTTCCCAATATAATCAACTATTATCTTTATTTAAATACTCTCTTCTTTTATTTTCCAAACAAGTGTTGTCATTATCAACTCCTATGAAATATGGACACGTTCCAAAAACTATGAACAAAAGAAGTAAACTCCTACCATAACTTCCATCATCATTTCGGCGCCAATATCGTACATAACAAAGATCACGGGGCCACACAAACCTGCAATGATAAATGCACGGCAGTGTCAGTCAATAAGGTTAGCCACTTCACTTTGGAGATGTGTAGCTCTTAATTATTTATCTAGTCCCAAATCATGTTTTGATATATACAAAAAATTCCAAATTTAAGTGGTGGGAGGCCTAAACAATGGCTTACATGTCAAGAAATAAAACAATTTAATCAGAACACTTACAACACATAATAGAAGAAAAATTGGTTATTTAAGAAAAGGCATCTTCATTCATCATTCATTTATGTGAAATAAGTAGATCATGTTTACCTAATATAGATACAAACAATTATAAAAAATACAGAAGATAGATTATTTTTACATTGGGAACCAATCTAGCTGAAGTCGATGATATAGAACTGCTGTATGCCCATCCACCTCCTCAACTAAACTACCATGTTGGAAACTGCAATCCCATCTGCAGACATGCAAATAATAAAAGCAAACCAAATTTATCTGCAGTACTATGGAACATCAAATATCTAAAATAATTGAGTACCGTGGATAATTTTAATTTAACTCAAGTGATAAGATGACTAGAACAATGTCTGAAAGAACAAGATGATGTCCAGAATTGTGCTAAGTTTTCCAATCTATTTTATAGCCCAATGTATGTTATCATACTCATGATTCAAAGATATCAAACATCTTAGAGCATCAACTGTAATCAACTATGAAAAAGATATTGGTTCCAAACTAATTATCCCTCTTTTACCTTGCAATCAAAACAAAAAATTTGCACCTCACAGTCCTCAATCCTAATTAAATAAAATTGTTTTAATAAGACTCATCAGTTTTTTGGTTTAAATTAACAAATTTTTCAATAGTTTTTTGCCTATTCTGTTCTTTGGTTTCCTCTATCCATTTTAATGTAATGCTCTACCATTTGGTCCACCTTTCACATCACAACCTCCACTGATCCTCAGTTCTTTCCCTCACATGACCAACAACCATCTTAGACAATTTTCTATCATCTTCTAAATAGGTATCACCCCAACATATTCCCAAATACTTCCACTCATAATCTTATATTCTTATTTTAATATAGTGTATGTCTATTCAACTTATCCACCTCAACATTCTCATCTCCCACCACTCCAACATCGAACTGAAAAAAAATTTGTTACTCATAGAAACAGCACAAAAAATGTAAGCAGTTTTCACATCCAACAGTGCCCCATTTATAACATAACAATACCTCATTTATCTCTTTGACCAATCTTCCCCAGTATGTTTATTAATACTAACAACTTTAACCCCTTTAGCATGGAAGTTACTAAATTAGATGATTGTCATTTCAGAGTTCTTTACTGTTTTTTATAGGAAAATTCTAGTGGCAATCCTAGCCTTAACAGGAAAGGCACTCCTAAGGTGCAAATAATAGCTCACACCTGCTAGAGTCTTGCCTCAGTACCTTGGGAACAAGTGCTGGTTCATTTGACTACACTGTCCAGGACATAGCACAGTAAGGCCTAGTTTGGATTAATTTCTAGCTTATGGGAGTTCTTTTATCGTAAAACCTACTATCCCACTATCACTATCTTATTCATAGTTGTGGGGCACTGTATACTTAGCCTCTACGATAAGAAAGTGAATGGGGCCGGTGCTAGGCGATCAGAACAGTTCATCAAGCCATTTCTCGCCTTAAGACTTTTCCAAGTCAAGAATTTCAAACATTTATGGTTGCTTATGGAGAAGTTAAATGTGAAAACCTCGGAAAATTTTGAGATGTTTAAGTTAATTTTATGTTAAAGAGTAATTTGATTTTTTTATGCTAGATTCATTTTATTTTCTTCTCCTATATATGGTTATTAGGAAGTCTATCCAAACAGAACCTATCTAAAGTAGTATTTACATGACATCACAACACCTTAAAGTGTCAATTCCAATTGCTTTCCCATACATCACAATAATATTTGTCCAAAAACAACAAAGAATAACAATCTGTCATACATCATGCATGATAGCAACTATTATGCAGAAATACCAAAAAAAGAGAATAGTGGTCATTCTGCAGAAAACTTACTCAAACCGTGTCCCATCCATGCTCATCACAAGTTCAAAAATTTCTTCACAAGTCGCCTCCACAACACCTACTGCCTTCATAGCTCTACTGCAGCTCCTTGGCTACATAAAGAAGTAAATTGAAGATAATTGCGTTTCCCAAACTATTCCGTGAATGTAGTATACCAAGAAAATAAAGAAAGACAGGAAATAACGCACAAGGTAATCAACTTCCACAAGTTCTTCAAAAATACGAAGTCCTGCCCATTTCAGAAAAAAATCATCTCAGTTCATGCAACCACTACATATCCAATCATTTCACAAGAATATTTTCTAGAAATTAGGAGAAGTTCTTTTATGTAATCAAAATAGAAAATTGCTCTATCATTCAAATAAATGTAGCAAACCATCTTGACATTGTAAAAGACGCCAATGCTTTCTTGAGAATGCTTGGTTGTTGATATTCTGATTTGACAAATCTGAATCTATTTCCCGTGTCCAATCAAAAACTGATTCAGGAGGGCCTGCATCTCAAGAAAGAAAAGGTTTAAATATAGACTGTAGTAGATTAATTGCAAACCCACAAGCTGTAGGTATACGAAGTAGACCATTTCCAATTGTTGTCCTCCTTAACAAATTAGGATGAGGGTCATCTTCATCCTCCTGAGCACTGAACCTGGTGATCCAAATAATATTTTGGATGTTATGAATATATAATGTGCACAATAACATTGGTACCCAACAATTATCCAGACAGTAGCTATTTGGTCAGCAGTGAAATAAAAATGGCCAAAAAAACTAAATCATGTTCCAGTATGTTTCGATCAATTATTTCAGTAGATTTCTCTGAGAATAGACACTGGAATGATAGAAAACAATCTAAAGGAAGATAGACAAAATTTAACAACATATGAAACAACAGCACACAAAAAAACAGGTAAACTTAACACATTGCCATCTTCTACAAACAGTAAGAGGAAAAAAGCAAAGCACAAAAATACTTACTGGCTTTCACGGTCTGAGGAAGAAGCTGTCTTTCCATTGTCCATCCCAGATTTGTACTCAAAAGAAATATATTTGTTACCATTTGATGGTTGCGCTCCCTGGTGCTGCATGCATCAAAGTTCAATAGCATCAGCTAACACAATAGGAATGCGTGTCCTACTAGATGAATTTACAGAGTAAAATTGCAATGCATCAATTTATCTTTGTGTCAAGAAAATGCTTTTCATATTTCAAGCCAATATGCATCAGGGAGAGTTAAAGTCTAACAAGAAGATTAGGAATATGGATGCCAATCCATATTTAAAGAACATAATAGGATGGTGCAATTTGGTGAAACAGACCTGATCAATGACATACTCTATTTTTTCCTTCCAAATTAGGGCCTCTTGGATGTTAAATGCTGCCATCTGCAGTAAGAACCACAGTAAAGAAATATTTACTCAGCAAAATCAAAATTATAATAATAAAAAATTAGAACGAAAAGACATAATGGTGATTATAGATAAAAGGGTATAAATATATGCTGGATATGTGAATGTGAGGGAAATCCACTAACCATAATTCGATGGTTCTTTTCTTTCTTGTTGTAAACAGACAAAACATAAACCATCTGCACAAAAAGATATAAATAGTTGCAGGGCAAATAGAGAGAACAAAATCATTGTCAATATGGAAAAATTTTAAATAGCTTAAATAAAGTTGCATTCTAACTACAAATACCACCACCAAACCCATCATATTAAATAGCATCCCCGGTCAATTTGTGTTTACTCAACTTTACGTGAAGGAGAAAAAACATGCTACTCAAATTCTTGACATGTCTTTCCCTCTTCTGAAATTATTCATTAAAGGAATTTCTGTCAAATTTACACTATGATTAAGGATAACTTGGTTCCTGTAGCAGTAAACACACATACCTCTCATTTTGGCGAATTACTCAGCTTGAAAGGTTTTATTGGAATCTGAATAACTCACAAGTTTAACAACAATGGACAGGAGTATAGGACACCTCTCACACTATTATCATAATATACATTTGATCCGGTAGACATGGAGAGAGATTGCAAAGTTGTGGTATCTTTTCCTCCAACTTTAGTATTCTTTCTTTTTTTGCGGACACTTTGAAGAAAAAAACTTTGCCCCCTTACTTAATAATTATTTCCTTGTAATAAATGTGTTCCTTCATCTAAAAAGGAAAAAAATACTAGCCTGTCTTGGACAATACAGGACCGAAATCAGGCTCCATAAGTGAATTTAACAGTCCACAGAGGGGGGCTAATTTTATGTGCAGAAAACTATGTATTCCTAGCATTACTAACCAAAAACCTCTTGAGGCCCGTTTGTTTTACTGAAAGCCATTGGTATTTTTGATGCATCCTTCCTTACATAACACACCATAAATCACTCCACAACATCCCCTCGCTTCAACCATTTACTAGCCTCCATTCACAGAATCAAATCCCTAATCGGATTAAAATTGACACATGCATACCAGACATCCAACAAGTACAGCTCATATCAACGATCAATTCAAACCAGAAGGCTCACACAGCAAGCACAGGTACCAACAAATAAATAAGTATGTATGTGCTAGTGTCCGCCTTTAATTGCATAACTCACGTGTCCATGATGAGTCTTCAAGCCTCTATCCTCCACTCTACAGTTGCCGTCAATTAGCAGTGTTTTAATTGGAACCTAACAAAAGTATAAAATCAAGTTAATGTCGTCAAGTTTTCGAGCAGAATCTACTCTCCACCACACAGCCCTTCCCACAAAGTAAAAAAGATACAAACCAAAACCAACAGGCAAAAAGTTCAGAAAGCATAAAATATATTATATTAGTCGAAAAAGTAATCTCGCAAATTCCCTGTCCTTTTCCCAAAGAATAGCCTAAACGGTGATTCCGGAGAGTGAAAACTTTAACAAACAATAAAAATTTAAACAAAATAATAATAATAATAAAGGAATTCTCCTAAAACCCAAACGAAGAAATGAAATTCAACAAAAAACAATAAAACCACCTGATTATCCTGCGGTTTCCTCTTGTAATACGCGAGCAGCCGCGACTCCAACACGAAGTACCTCATGTGGATGAACGATCGCCCGATCTTCCGCCGGCCGTACCGCACCATCCACCCTTCGTACACAACCTTCGACGACATCGTTTCGCGGAAAGCGAATTTCAAATTCCGAAAACCAAAGAAAAAAACGGCACAAATTGGGACGCGGTTCCGGCCGGAAGCAGGAGACGGAGAATCTCTGCTTCGGCAAGATCAATTGCGAGCTCCTACGTAACCTGACGACTCATCACCGGCGACTCCACTCAAAGCCCGCAGAAAGAGCGAGGAGCTTAGAATTCGGAACTCGAATTCCGCATTGGCGCTAGTCGCAGTTACTCTCCACCGATTGCCAGAACCTTCCGCTTTCTCCTCGAACTTGGATTTTGTTAGGCCGATCGGCGACGAGGAGATCGGTGAAACGACGACGTACAGCGAAACGGTGTTTGAGAGAGAAAGAAGAAAGAGAATTGGAAGAAGAGATTCTGTTGTATTCCAATTAGCGCAAGTGTGAGATCCCACGTAAGTTAGAAAAGGCTGTGACCGCGAGCAGCACTTGGCACGTGGCGCTGTCGAATTGGACCGTGTGGGTTAAATGCGTGATGGCGCAGTGACACTCTCTCCATTTTTGAATGTAGGTGGCGTCCTCGTTCTTTCTTTCTACTATTCTCAACCTCACCAATTTAATTTTAATTAGAATTAATTATTATTGTTGTTTGAGGAGTACGTGATGAAAGGGAAGTGGGTCCCACGTGATTTTTGATTGTATGAGATTACCTATATATCCCTGGGCATTAAGGGGTTTTGACTTTGTTTGTATTGGAGATTACGGTCATTGTGCAAGTGCGGTTAGGCACTAATTTACGCAGGTACAGTGATGCAGCGCAGTGTAGTGGGATTAGGAATTGGAATTAATTTGTGCGCCTCAATGTGGAGTGTGGACAGCTAAGCGTGACATTATTGAAATTTCAATTCACGGAAAATAATTGTGATTAATTATTAATTAATTAATTATGGTTCATTAGGAGTCATGTTTGTATTTTTATTACATTAGGAGTGACATTTTTTATTACACTAGTGCACAGTTTTTTCTCTAATAACATTTGTTGTTTTTAATTAACATTTTCTCCTTAAAAATCGTATTATCATAATTACTCATTTTTTAATTACTAACTTAGAATAGTAGAATATGTAACCTTTAACATTTTGTGGATTACCATCTAATACTGTTAGGACTTAATTTTGATGCAAATATGTTTCTAAAAAAATGGACCTCTGCAATCTTCAATATATTTAAAAAGGTCCCTATAATTTTATATATATTTATATTTAAATTAATAAACCATAGTTGTAAAGTTGTGTTAATAAAATCGATTTCTATGTCATGAAAAAAATACATAAACAAATATACACCTCCAACTCCAATATTAATTAAGTAGATAAGAAAGAAGGGTCTATTTGATTAGAATAATTTAAAATTATTATTTTAATGTGAATATTATATTCAAGTAACACAACAATATAGTATTGTTATTATTTATAGACAACTTTTGTAAAAGTAACCCCTTAAGTTTTTTTATTTATTTTAAAAAAATTATCCCACTGATTTATCTGGTTGTTAAAATACTATCTAAAGTATTTTCGCAACTATGCGAAATTATCAAACACCATTAAACATAAAATTCGACAATTTGTCTTAAGCTTATCAAAATTGTGATATTTTAAAAAAATAAAAATTATGAAGTAAAAAATAAATAAAAAAAATGCCCCATACCGGTCTTGGGTCAAATCTTTGAACATTGATTTAGTTTTGTCTTTGTTAGCCGTCTCATTTCGCATCCTTTGGCTATATACCACCATGATATTGAAATTTTTATGTGAAATTGATTTTTGGCAATTTTTTTTAGGAAAACAACTATAAATATATTATCGATGGGTCTCAAAATTAAGAATTAAGTTTAATGAAAAAACAATATTTCAACAAGTAATATATTTTTTAATATATATAATGTCAAAGTCAATAATGTCAGCTTAGCTATCAAGTCTGAGTAACTTGAGAGACTAGATTGAAATATTTTAACGCTCACAGAATCCAACTCGCTCCAGGTGGATTAACTAAAAATGTAAAATAAAAAATATATATATTTTTATGACAAAATATTTAAAATTATTAAGCATCTTAATTAAAATTGGGATATACAATATACTTATTTTTAAATAATGAAATAATATATTTAACTTTTTCAATAACTTATAAATTCATAACCCGACTCATTAAAAGAGTTAATTAAAAATTAAAAATAAAATGGATTCACTTATTATTATATATTGTAATTAGAATGGATTTGCTTTAATGATAGGAGATTATATTCTAACCGCGTTGACAGCTCTAGAACATTTGAAATTTGGAAACCTAGAATATATTATTATTATTATTCTCACAAAACGACATTTTACGCCGATAGGAACCCACTCTCTCAATCTGATTTTGCCCTCGTAAGCCATTTTTGTAAAATTATTTTTATCAATATGTATGTGAATCAATTCGCGTAAATTATTTTAATTTATAAAATAAAATATCAATTATCTTAATTTGTAAAAAGTAATTTTAATTAATATCGAACTAATGTGGTGCTGTCTATATTTAGTTTTGTATGTTTAAAGTCATTTTGCAGCTGAAAATCTTAATTTAATGATTTTTTATTTATTTAAGAAGGAGAAGGTCTGATATCATATTGTTAGATAAATTTAATTCGCATGACATTTTGGATTTCTCGTCTTTTACCTCGACTCTAAACGAGTTGAGAATGATGAGTATATCGAAACAATTTTAAATTTATAAAATTAATTTTAATTAATACCGAAGAAGTTTGATTTGATTTTTTTTTCAACAATAAATATGCAGAGTTTTATCTGCGTGTAAGAAGTTTATCTCCCAACAATTTATTTATTCTTTACTTTAAAAACAATATAGTTTTTTGTTTTTAAAATTAAAAATTATTTTCAATTAATGTCTGATTTTCACCAGCAGTTTTTAAATTAAGTTTAATAAATATAATTTTTAAAAATATTAAAATTATTCTTAGAAATGAAAAAATAAGTCAAATATTTTTTTAAATGACCATTTTTATTTTATTTTTATTATTATGATTAATCAAACTCTGATTTTCATATTTAATAAACCTGACAAAATGACAGTTTTTTCATAAAATTAATTTAATTAAAATGAAGAAATTTATTTGAATTTTTGTGAAAAGCAAATGTGTAATTTCTGTGTGTAAGAGATTTATCTCCCAACTAAGAATGCTCTTTTAATCTGAGTTTTATAATTAACCAAACTCTGACTAACATATTTATGTTGGACTTCATTGATGCAATTAAATTTTATATAAATACTTTATGTAAACAAAAAAGATATACTTTGATTCCTAATTATATTTAATTTATACTATTTTAACAAAATAAAGTGAACCTGCTGAATGCTAAAATTAATAATTCTATGAAAGAAAATAATCTCACACACCATATGATGATATAATATATGTTTTTGTTCTTTTATAACCACACTTAATCTATAGAATTATATTCGTTTTACATTATATATATTGTTACTTCAATTGAGGTTGTTAAATGTTACGTACCCACTTTATGAATGCAAAAAAACAAGTGTGGAAAGACACCGTCGTTGCCAATAAAACTATGTTGTTTTTTCTTTTTGGTGAATTTCAACTACGTTGTTTGATTCACCCTTTTAGCCCATAAAACCAAACATCATCGGTCTCAGATCCCACGAACCCCATCATCACACCACTCTTTGCAGTTTGTGCAACCAAACCTTTTTTTTCTGTCTCTGCTTGTTGAATTCAACGAAGTTGTTGTGATTAAGGAGAACGTGGCCTTTTGAAGCAGAGAGAGAGAGAGGAGACAGTACTTTCTGCATTCAAACCAATCACTACTTCCGTAAGTAAAATACCCTCTCTCTTTATCTTTTTCGTTGTCCATTTTCATCATTGTTATTTCTTACTTTATGATTTATGATTATGCTTAAATATGTCTTTTCTTTTTAGAACCCCATATGCACAGTGTAAAGTGCCCAAGTATGCATCTGATGTCGATTATAAAAATCTAAGCTTCCATTCACTCAGATAGAAATGCATAGGAGGGGATAGGAAATTATGTTTTCTGATTTAATGATGAGTACAAGATGGGTTAGACTTTTTCTTCTTCTTTTTTATGGGAGAGAATTTTTCCCAGTTATCGATGGATCTCCTTGTTTATGTTTTTCTCTTTCCTTCTATAATTTCTTTCTCCTGGCTGAGTTCGTTGTATTCTTCAGCCCAAGTTTATAGATTTTGACTTACTTGGAGGTCTTATCTTCGATTTATTTTGATTTTCTGCTGGGGTTGACTGAATGAGCTTCCTCATCCTTTCAAATGTGCAGTTGTTGTAGAGATGTCGGTGGTGCTTTTTGTTTTCTCGTTGAAAACATAAAATTGACTCTGATAACCAGACTTTTCAAATGAATCAATAGAAGCACTGTACCAAAGTCACTTCTATTTTAAATCACCAAAAAAAAAAAAAGGCACTGTACTAGCTTTCATAGTCAACAACTATTGGCTTTGCTAATTTCTGCGGTAAATTCAAGGGTCATGGAGGATCCATCTTCAATACTTGGTAGAAGGTGGCCTTGTTGGATCCTGTTGTAAAAGGAAAGCTTTTACACAATTTAAGTTGTCGTAAGAATAATAAAGAGTTTAAATTTTTAAGCACCTCAGATAGAGAAAACACGGAAACTGAAAAGCACACACACATATAAAAAAAAGGCTGCTATTCGATGTTTGAAAACTGATGGTACCATTATTGGTAACAGGAATAATTGGTACTCATCTATCTGATTTGGTCCAGCTAAGGAATCATTCTATGCCAAGTTGATTAAATACTAGGGAGATTGTATTTTGGAGAAGTACAAGTTAATCACCAGCATGGGATCTTTCAAGGGTCATGCTTTGCCAGGGACATTGTTTCTTCTAGTTGGGTTGTGGCACATATGGGGCTCTGTGGTGAGATATGTTCGTAATCCTATGACATTTCAAGTCAGGGTTTGGAATCCTGTGCCAGGGTTTGATGGGAGGCTCAAGCACCTGGAGCTATATGTTATTGCAATTGGTGCTTTCATTGACATGTGCATCGAGCTCTTGTATTCAACCCACCTCAAGTTTTTTGTTGATGGAGTCCTTAATCCTTCTCACATGAATGACTTTGAGCACTCAGGAATGCTTCTCATGTTTTTCATCTTTGGTGTTGTTGCCTTACTTTCCCAAAAGACCAGGTTAGTTCCCCTCTTCATCTCTCTTTAATTTCTGTTTGAATAGGATAAATTTTGCTGTACAATTTCAATGTTATTTTTATTAAAGAATTAATACTGTTTCACTCAGAGTTTGGTCAACCGAAAATCTTTATTACTAATGAAGTTTTGACAATCCAAATCTTCATTTTACATTTTTTTTTGCCTTTTTCTAATGATTAAACAAAACGTGTAGTGAAGTAGTGCAAAATGAAGCTTCAGTAAAATACTGTTATGATGGTGTTGTCATGCTGTACCAAGTTACTTTTCAAGTGAAACTGGTTTTTTAAGTGCTGCTGCTGTATTGTTGAAAACAGATGAAAAATGGGATACTGATTGAAACAATTAAGATTATTGGTGAGATAGATAATTCCACGTTATTCAAAGTGAAAACCAACGCCTCATAGTAGAGCTCCATCTATGCTTTCCCATAATTGTCTTTATGCTTGTAGAGTTTTCCTTTGTTTTGTTTTTTCTACTCTAATTGATTTTTAAGTTGGCATTCTCAAGAATTGATCAAGTTTCGTTGTGTGTGTCCACAAGATATATTAGTTCTTAAGCAGACAATGCAATTGTGTAATGTAAGATTTCATTTGGTGCTTCCGTGTACATGATGCATTCTTTGCTCCTTGAGCCACATTGCATTCTTCACTTATAGGTTTCATAGACAGCAGTATAAGAGGACAAAATTTCTGAGTTGTGTTTGGTTTGCTCTCAGTGAGTTGCTGGTTCAGAGTCATGAGTTGTTGGAAACTATGGGTCTATGAAATGAAAATTCAAAAAATTCTACGAATCAGTTCCCACTGTTTCTCCACATTCTTATCTAATACTTTGTTCCGTCAGCAATTAACAATAATCATTTCATTAACTTTTGTCATGCAAAAACCAAAGTGTAAAGTTTGTCATGTAGGGACTATATAACAAAAGCTGATTTTAACCTACTTTGTTTAGTTTGGTTGAGGAATAGTTAGATAAGATGCAAAAAAAGACTAACAACCAATCTAATTACCGTGAGAAATTAGGTGAACAACGAGGAAAACTTTTGCTAATGAGTCATGACTCTTGTGAATGATGTAACACATACTTCATACACACTCTGCAATTTGGTTTTCAATTTGTTAAGTGCCATAGATATTTTCTTTTCCCAATCATAATAATTCATCAATAGCCTTGTATCCTTAATAACATATTCTTATTTTCCAATCATTTCTGCAATCTGTTCTTGATTATAATTTTATATCATGATATGTAGTTTACTAGACATGAAACCTGCATTAAAACAGTTAACACTTCCTTTCAAGCATCTTATTATATATCTTTTTAATGATCTTCCTTGTGACTTTTTCTTACACAGATTTGTTCCCTTGCCAGAAGGTGCTCTTTGTTTGATTGCTGCTGCAGCATTCTCTGCAGAATATCTTCTATTCTACTTCCACTCAACGACACACAAGGGCCTTGAGGGCTATTACCACACCCTCCTTGTCTTCCTGGTAGGACTCTGCATTTTGTCTTCAGTTGCTGGAGCCCTTTTGCCAACAAGCTTTCCAGTGGATTTATGCAATGGCATTGCTATAGCCCTGCAAGGTTTATGGTTCTATCAGACTGCATTTGTTCTGTATGGCCCTATGATGCCAAGTGGTTGTAAGCTTAGGGAAAATAGTGTCACATGTCATTCTGCTGATAGTGAGGTTCGGGGTGAATTGCTTGCTAACTTTCAGCTCTTTGTTGCTGTTCTTGTGGTCCTTGTGGGAACTGTGGTATCATATAATTTTGCCACTTCAAGATATGGGAATAATGAAGTTAAGAGTTTGCATGAGGTTGACTTAGCTGAGGAATGAAGCAGTGTTGCTATTTTTTTCTGGTGATAGTGAAATGTATTGGCAGCGTAGTTTTTATAGAAAAGTCTGTACACTGAAGTGAAAAGGTTCATGCATCTATGATCATAGAAAAGTGAAAAAAAGTACCCCAGAGAAAGAGAAATATACATTTTGGTGGTGCAATAACTTTTAGGAATCTGATGTTAAAGGAAAACGGATTTTTCTTCTCTAGCATATGATTACAAAATGAATTTTGGTTGGTTCTGATTACAAAATGTGGTAGGGGATTCCACTTGGATCAATGTATTCATTGGTTATCATTCTTTCTGTACAATGATGCACTCTATAAATTCTAATGTTGCACGTTAACACGACCATGATTTCAGACAAAACAATAAAGTTAAAGCTATGCCAATGCCACGATGCATTTCTTGATTGAACATTTGATGCGTTTCTTTTTTACCATGTTAGTACCATGATTTGATTTTAATGTTATTTTATGTACAGTTTTTGTACCATTGGATACATTTTATGTACAACTTGTACGTGAATTTAATTTGATAAAATTTACGGAAAATTGATGTGATGATTAATATGGAGAGGTAGATTATTGTATACAAAAGTATACCACTAACATTTTTCTTGCTACAAGTTGTATAAAACTTCACAACCTGGAGACAATAGTGCAAGGTTGTTGAATACAATGTTCCAGTCTTCCTGAAACTATTCAATATCACGATTAGACTCCTTTATTTATAGTACATCCACGATTATAGGTTGAAACAAAGGTTTGTTTTTTATGTTTACTTTTTGTTTTTTCTTTCTCACAATATAATATTGTTATGGAACAATTAGTGTAACAAGAATGTTTATAAACACAACCGAATAAAAAGTCAAAGATAACTTTATAATAATTTTATATTCTGCCATTGCAAGATGTGAGGCAAACAACAGAAAAGTTAATAAAATGATGAAACCAGCCCCTTTGGAAGCTTGCACCGCCTTTATATTTGCAATTTATAGTTTGTGTTTTTCTTTTAATATTTGAAATTTATAGTTTGTGTTTTACTTTAAGGGAGAATAAATTATATCTCATCATTGTATTACTTTTTAAAACTCAATATATGTATTTGTCTGAAGTTATTTTTCTCCTTTCACTCCCTTATATATTAACATTATCATGAATAGCCAAAAATAGTGGTTAACTGTAAAACTTAAATAAACCAGTTTCAGAAAATAATATAATGAGATACAATTTCAGTGCCTGAATTATTATCATTTCCTCTTTAATATTTAAACAAATTATATTCAGTTCCAGTCTACTTTGCTTACAAATGACAGTAGCCTCTAGCTATTCAATTTTCATCACAGGTATATATATATATATATATATATATATATATATATATATATATATATATATATATATATTCAGACATATTTTCAAGACTAGAGAACAATTTGCCCAATAAAAATTTAGGATCAATGGCATAGAAACACGCATAGTTCATATGTTACTAAATTATTAATAATGAACATTGTTTTGGCAACAACCTTTCAACCTCATGCTTAAACAAGTATACGGTCTTCATTTGGCATATATAAACCATTACAAGTAACGTCTTTTTTTTTTAATCTATGATGTCCCACTGCATCTATAAGATGCTCTGTGAAGCTTTGAAGAAGGATACTTAGATCCTGTTCACAACCCCATGTAACACAACAAATACAAGGACCCTTTGTGAAGACAAATACTAAAACGCAGTTTCTATTTAGAATAATACATTGGTTATGCTTTCTAGGATAAGATTTTTCACAGAAGCTATGTCCCAATTCACAAGTCTAATATGGGACGATAATGGTCTCTATAAGTTCTTGAAGGGGTGCCAGCTCCTTTTTGTCAATCAGTCCAAACTCCTGCATATCAAAAACTAGTTAGTTTCAAACAAAATCTACAATGTTACACGATTAGTTTATTAATAATTTTATTTATAAAAATGTAGTTTTGAAAGAAAAAGCCAGAAAACTTGCTTCAACACATAAACAAGTAAAAGGAAAATACGAGACTTACACAGGTGAAGAGTATAAAATGCTTGAAGCAAGTGTTTAAGTGGGCCTCTTCTTTGAGGCTCACAATTTTCTGAAAGTGAGAATGGTATATGTGAGCATATACACGGAACAAACGCTTGAATATTGTCTTCACAACTTCCTTAAAGTTGGCAGGAAATGGTGAACCTGCAAGATTCATAGGTTAAGGAACCAAAATGAAAAAGATGATGATCATGGAATCTAAGTACATTTAAGGAAAAAATATTAAAATCTTCACCAAGCTTCTGAGGGAATATGGATTCATCATCAAGCTGTGCTTCAATCCAGTCCATCAGATATTCTACATATTTTGGAGCAGAAACCTCAATAGGTTTCTTAATTTGTACACCATCTGCCCATCTATATTCATACCTAAAGTATTCCAAAGACCGAACAACATTAGAGCTATGAATGTATAAATATTTTGTACACATGACTCTAGACTTGTCATTATCACTAAAGGTATGTTTATATAAAACACACATAGCAGTTGAGTTCCCAAAAGGGCAGAGTAAAAAACTCACTCATTACCAAATAATGTCTAGATTCTAGAAAATGAACTGGCACGATCATCCAAATTACAATGATTCCACAGAAACATAGAACTGAAGGCAAGACAACATAAGAGTCACGTATGTATAAATATATAGTGCAGGTGGGTCTAGAATTACAATAATAAACATTGAAGGAAGGAAATACAAAAATAGCGAATTTTTTATGTACTTTCAGGAAGGAAGTACAAAACTTACTGCTAAGTAACTAAGAATAGTCTAGATTCTAGAAAATGAACAATTGGTAACAATAGCCAATGATTTTGCAAAAACAGAGAACCAAAGAAAAAAAAAACGAACACAAATAACTGAAGAAATGACAACTTTAACAGCTCTATGCAACAACAGTTTTTTTTTCTTTATCAAAATAGTGTGTTAATACATAGTGGACAGATTTAAAAAAAACGACATTTTAAACAAAAAAGTATAGCAAGAAATGGAAATATAATTATTTAGTACAACGTTTATGCACCTAGCCTCCCATTTAACAGTTACCAAAAGCATGCGGCATAGAATAAATAGCAACCATCATAACAGCAAAAAACTAACATAAATTCTTATAAAAGGGGATACTCACAAGGAGATAACCATTTATGAAAAAGTGATAATAGCTTTTACAACACAAACCATTGTTTTAAGCCTCATAGTTATTTAGTTACCTGTTAACTCAAGATAACAGATTCAGAACCCATATGTTTCAAGAGCTGAGAGATTTTCTCATTCAACAGCAAAGATAATTGAAAGAATATCATCTGACTGAATTTCTAAAAGCATACAAATGCTTTTCCCCTCAAAAGGAAAGGAAAACAATGAAATCAGTCAGTTAAATATGCCATACTTGGGTCCTGCAGACATTGTTCGACAATTCTCAGGAGTACAGAACTCTGTAAGGGTACCATAAAGCAGATTCACCTGGTTGAAAAAATCAACAGCTGTAATGGCAAAAAAAACAAGATCAGATTACTGTATTTCAGAATCTATGTATACACAGAGGAGGGAACTCAAGAATAAAAGACAAAAGAAAACTTCATCCAGAATATACACTGCTCTTAACAGGGCATTAGAGAGAGAAAAGTAGTTACTGTTAACAGCTAGCCACTCATTTAAATCCTCCCCAGGAGGTAGCTTTACTGCTTCCCTCAGATTTCCACTACCCAATGTGGCATCAATATGTTTTCTAAGTTGAGCTCCCTGCAATAATAATAATAATAATAATAATAATAATCAGCAGCAGAATTCTGTTCATCTTCCACTAGAACAGGGTGAATCTTTAAAAAGTCAAGTCAGACCATCCAATTACTCTCTTTTTTCCCTTACTGCCTCACGTATTTCACAAAAGACAAGTCGAAGACTGAAAAACCCAAATTATATCTATATATGTAAGGAAAATGCATAAACTCATATCCTTCATGGTGAAAAATGAACAAAATTTTGTGAAAATTCATCCTTCCTTCCCCTCCCCCCTCCTCAACCAAAGATTAAAAAAGAAACAAAGAAGCCACTTGCCATATCCAGACAATTTTGTGCAGCTGCCAAAAAAACACACTAACATGCTGAAAATGTGTAAGTTTTTCTATAGGTATCGTCATTAGACATTTGTCATCAATTTTGGAGTATGCGTGCATTACAAAGTAATATTGTAAAATATAATTTTATAGCTTCAATTCAAAATGACTTCATTAAATGTAATTTGCTTTGAAGATAACATGATTAAAGATTACATTTGTTTAGTTTACGATGTAAATCCATTTCCTGCATCTTCTCTTCACTGACAAAAAATAGTCTCATTTGGGAGGATCAAACTATTTTACTTCTAAATGTGCTCTTTTTTTTTTTTTCAAAATTCTTATCCTTTTAACATTGCAGTTCTAATTTCTCAGATGAATAAAATACAATTATATTGCAGAGATTTTCGCCCTTGCTTATGAACAAGGTTTTCTAACAACAGGACATTCAGTTCTTCGAGCAATCTAATTTTATTTAATCAATAGGATGCCTTTTGTGAGTTGTATGCAAGGTTAAAGCATTTGACCATCAACTCCTTCCCATTCCTCCCATTCCAAGCACATGTGAAATAATGAATGAAATAGAAATTGAATTGCTCATAACATCGAGGCTCTAGGCTTTAAACGAGGTAAAAAAGATTAAAACACTCAAGCACAATTAATATCTAAAAAATGGATCAGAAAATAAAAGGAACCCACCTTACTTCCAGAAGGAGTACTTTTTTTTGGGCGGAATGTTCTCTGGTTTCTGTTGTAGAATAATATCAGGTAAAGATACCAACAAAGGATGAAATAGAAACTAAAAAAATACTAAAATTATCTCACCAATAGTTTTTGCACTTATGCATAATAGTATCACGCAAAGTTGAGCTAATAG